CCTGGCAAGACAGCGAACTCACGTCGTGACTTCCTCACACTTTTTTTTTTTTTTTTTTTTGGGTGAGAAGTTTCCTCGCCTTCCTGCCGCAGCGACCATGTGGTGTCAGTGCAGCGTCATTTGATGTGGGGCACGGTACGTGCACCGCGGTACGTACCGCCAGAGACACGGGAAGAGAGGAACCAGCAAAGGGCCGGGGAAGGTGGAAGGGGCAAGGGAAGGTCACGGACGGCGAGACCCACGCTCATGACTGGCTGATATCATATTGCAGCGGCCAGTCGAGGACCGTTTGCTCCGGGGCAGATCCCTATGCCCTACACCTTACACTCAAGGTAAGGCAGTCTGCTGGTAGTGTGGTGGAAGGCAAGGTCGTCTCCGCTGCTTCCCGTCTTCTGGCATCGTCTGGAAACCGCGACATCTGCATCCCGCAGGTAGCTCCGATCACATCCCGGAAGGTACGGCCCCACACCTGCCCTCTGCTGCACCTGGTGAGCCTCTACTGACGTCAGATCGCCGGCACCCGTCGAACCCCGTCGCTGTCTAGCCACGTCTGCCACCTTCCCATCGAGTCACATTCTCGAACCAGGTCGACAGTCGCTCTTCCAGCTCATCCGCCGCCCCGTTTTCCTGCTACCGCTCTGCTGTTGTCATTGCAACACCCCGACACTGCTCTAGCCACCGTCCCGTCTCAGGCTGACAGGTTTTCGTCTCTAGACAAGCCGCAGCTAATATCCAATACCACGACGTATTCAACACGCTTTGGTGCCGCACACTAAAGGCTCGACGTGCCGACATCAACACCCTCAACGCCCAAACAGGCTACCTCGCCAGGCTGATCCTCCCCTCCAACTCGAATAAGAGACCCCGATCTCATCTGCCAAGGCTGTCCCGGCTGCCGCAGGGCACCTCCGCGAAGTCTAACCAACTTTCAACGTCAACGACACCTGACGCCCAACCTCCACCACCAGCCCGGAGCCGCCAGTAGCCCGCCGACCTTTTACCTCTCCGGGTGCCACCAAAAGCTTCCTATCGAGCTCTTGATTTGTCAACCCGTCTCCATCTTCCCTCCTTCTCACTCCTCCCATCCATCATCAATCGTCCTCTGTTTCCGTCGCACCCGGACGACAGCGGCCTCAATTGGCCTCACCGCATCCGTCGTTCGACAATGTCCTTTTGATTTGCGTCCGATAGTCCGAATTTCTCAGCACCCACCGGCCACCAACCCGTCACCTGCAGCTGCATCGCTTCCGCGCATTCCGCACTCCCAATGAGGTCCAACAGGCTCACCCGCACCGTCTCCAACATATCGAATCTGTCCAAGTCTAGCAAGAACGGCAGCAAGAACGGGAGCAAGGCCAACAGTAAGGTCAATAGCGCAGCTACTAGCAGAGCCGGCACTCCCGACGGCGAATATGAAAACCCACTGGAAAATATCGCTCGTTGGCGCCTGACCGCCAACGCGGTCGCCCTGCGTTCCGGGGCCGCCTTTGCCTTCGGGCTGCAGAACCTGTCCGCTCCCGTTCCTCCCGCTGCAAATAGGGTCATCTGGCTAGACTCGACACTGTCAGAATGGTCTGGTCCAGAGAAGATCAGGGTCGATGTCTACCTCCCTCCCCACACCAAGGCTGGCAAGCCCACCGGGAACTTCCCTGCCGTCGTCAACTTTCATGGCGGAGGCTTCATCCTGGGACAAGGAACCGATGACGCCCGATGGGCCGGCGCCGTAGCTTCGGCACTCAACGCCGTCGTCTTCTCCGTCAGCTACCGCCTGGCTCCGGGCTATCCCTTCCCTACCCCGGTGGAGGATGCTGCCGACTCCATCTTGCAGATCGTTGCACGTGCAGATGAGTTCCTCCTCGACAAATCCAAGGTCTTCGTGTCGGGTTTCTCGGCCGGAGGCACGTTGGCCCTCGCCAGTTGGAACCTCCTGCAAGAGCCAGAGAGGTGGGGTTATGAGCTTAAATTCCCGGTCCCCGAAATTTCCGGGATCGTGCTCTTCTATCCGCTCCTCGATTGGACAATCACGAGGCCAATGAAGCGCGAGACATGTGGCAGGCCAGACATGACTCTGCCAAAGGGCATGACCGATCTCTTTGACGCATCCTATGTCTACCCTCCTCGGCCCAGGTCTGAGCGCCACGATCCGCGGCTTTCCCCGGGACTGATGACAGACGAGATGATAGACCGGCTCCCACCCATCCACTTATGCATGTGCGAATACGATATGCTGCTATTGGAGGGACAGAATTTTGCTGAAAGGGTTCAGACCCGTGGAGGCCGGATCAGCACTCGCGTGGTCGACACAGAAAAGCATGCATGGGATAAGCCGCCACCGTTTACACCAAAAGAGAGTGTCATGGTGGAGTATCACAAGGCCATTGACGCCCTTAGAGGATGGCTTGGCTTAGGCGCTCTAGAAAGCGATGAAATATTCGATGGGACGATACCAAGGATAGAGATTACTAACGACAGCGAAGAAAGTACATGAGATGATTGGAGCCATGGGCTTCATTAATATGGAGTGTGTAAGTTAGGTAGATACAGTTTTGTCCTTACTTTTCACTTGGCAGATATCCAATACCGCGTAACACATCATTCAACCTACCGAGACTTTGAAAGCTCGTGCCAGTGAACAACGAATGCCCAGACTGGTCAACGCAGTAATCGCATTTGACCTTTCAACATGGCATGCGTGATGTCTCACAGCTCCCCATGCAATCCTGCGAGACACCACGTCTGCATAACAGCACCTGCATCCACCCACATGCAGCACCTACACCAGAGCGTTTGATACATAGTACCAATCCTCGATAATGCCATTGTTGAGTCGGTTACGCCGCGCACAGATATTGCTGAAAAGGGAGGAGACGTCCGAGGGCTCTCGGTCCCGAGAAGGGAGGGCCAGTACCCGTGTTGAACCAACCCCGATTGGACTCGTCTGAAGTCGGTGATCAGATGACTAGGTCACGTTCATCTGGTCAGTGCTTTTCTATCGACGTACTTTTGTTGGGTTTCAGCAAGCCTTGGTGCGTTAATACAGTTGGTTGTTTGCAATTATTTCATCTTCATCGGCTTGCAAGTAGCATCGGCTGCTCTGTGTAGGTAGGCTTTTGGAGCGGGTCTACGAGTTGCTGTGATCAACTGGGGATTGCCAGCATCTTCGTTCGCCCGCTGCCGTAGTTGGGGAGATTAGGCCTGCGAGTGTAGCTTGCGGGTGCTCGTTCTTCCGAAAGTGGCGACTTGGAGACTCTGCCTCCGTGTCCTGCACGCATGTATGATCACCTAGGTCAAGTACACACAGGTTCTCCCATCGGGGACAGATGCCAACTCCTGCTTTAATTCCCGCACCGCAATGATATGAACTATGAGGATGTTGACCTTCGGCCTCGGCGCCCCGACTCATGGCCGCGGTGAGAGCATCTTGAAAATGTCACGAATATTTGAGACGGTTAGAAACACCGGCAGGTGCCAGTGGTGAGTATGACTTTGGGAGTTCTCTAACTCCAACGGTTGAGTTGAAGGGATGTGCGAGAGAAATAAAGAGAGAGGGGAGGCGGCAAATGAGTCTTTGGTACTTGTTTCTTCGGCTTTCATCTCTAAGGGCTTGTTCTTATATGCCTTTTTTGCGCAATAAGACGAGCGACAGGTAGTTGCGCACCTCCGAACGTCAGTAACTCTTTCGATATGAAGCAAGGATCGGCCGCCCCAGACTAGGCCTCCATTCTCAAGAGCAGAGGGTCCTTAGCACGATCTCATCGTGGGGTCAATTACAGGGATCGGCCGCCACGGTATGGAGTTGAGCTAGCGCCCCAGGTCAGATCACATCCTGACTATTTGATCCATAGTACTGTATTTTAGTGCACCAAAGTGCTCGCCATGAACAAGTACTCACTGGATCCACGATTCACTCTCACATCTATGGGATGCTTGTTTGGTTCGATTGGCGGAGGAGTTGAATCTAGCCTTGGTCTAGATTTTGCCGAATGGGACTTTTGATAGGCTTTTAGAGGTCCAGCGTATTGTACAGGTGATGGAATTCCGCGGCAGAACGCCTCTCCAGGCATTTGCCTGGAGGACGATCAACATGGTACTTTGAAATCAGGCCGATCCGCTAATCAATGTATTCTTCTGACTCCGAGGAACGTACACTAGGGGTTCCATTGAGTCGGGACTTTGCCGAGGTGGCTTGACACTTACAAGACGGCACCGATACACCAACGTTGCCACTGGCTCTCGGCCCGGTCCCGCTCTTCAATATAACAACTGGCTCGCGCTGGGCCCTAAGAAGCAAGTCGTTTTGGACCTTTTGCTCAAGCCTTTATTTCTCGCTTGTGACTAGCGAAAGCGGCTCAGCGAACCCCTGGAACGGCAACGCAGTCATCCACGATGCCGCGTCAGACCTGCATCGTGCTTCCGTACCGTGCACGATCTGGGCCTCAGGACCCTGCTAGCCTTACGGGGCTGGGGGGAGACGATTGAGGCAGTTCCCTTAGATGATCGTGAGCCTTGTTTGGCGGGGTCCGTCATCTGGCTCGGAGGTTCGTCACGACTTCGCTAGGTCTTACTGCGGTTGACCGCTTGCTGCTTTACAAGGGCGAGGTCGGCCGCCCGGCCACCGCGGTGAGGTCTAGTTGCTGCGGACAGGATTTGAAGATGGATACGGTACGTTGAGTATGGAACTTTGGTGTTTATACTGCGATCGTGTTACTGGGCGAAGTGCTCCTACCGGATTCATCAACTGTGTATCCTCTCACAGGGCGGGCTATGCTCAACATGGCGCTTTGGTGCTGACCTCTTGCGGGGATAATGTTTTGTGGGCAAGTGCTTACAATATCCAGTTGCGAAAATTGAAGCCTTAGTCCTCCACGACGAGGTCATCTCGTATATAAAGTAGCTCAAGACCGTCCTCCATCACACTTCCTTTCCTCACTCCAGTCCTCAGCAGCTCAGCCAAGTCAAGTCCACAACCACCAGACCTACTTCTAATCTATAATTCCACAATGGTCAACTTCGTCCTCGGCGCCGTCGCCACCCTGGCCGCTGTGGCCCCCCTCGCCGCCGCCGCACCCGCCGCAACTCCGGCCCCCGAGATCTTCTCCTTCGCCAAGTGGGTCGACGGCGTCATCGCCAACCCACACGGCGACAACCTCACGCCCGAGGAGGCTGTCGAGGCGTACTATAAGTCCGTCAACGCCTCCGAGGCGGCTGCCTTGGACTGGGACTACGGTCGCGCCCGCAAGCGTGACGATGCCACTGAGGGAGCTACCCCGGACTGGGATTATGGCAAGCGTGACGAGGTCCCTGAGGCAGCTACCCCTGACTGGGACTATGGCCGCGTTCGCAAGCGTGCCACGTGCAACACCATCGCCGGCACGCAGGCTTCGGTACGATTCTTCACGGGGCCCTCTGAAAATACTGAAGCGGCCACATGACTGACTCTTTGAATTGATAATAGGTCGCCGACGCCGTTTCTTGCATCAACTACCTCGCCGGCCTCGGCAGTACATCGTGCGTGGTCTCCAACGCGAAGAGCCACTTCTGCACCATCGGCAACGCGCAGATCACGGGCGTCACTTCGGGCAGCATTCCCGCGGCCTCTTCCTGGTAGGATCCTTCCTCCCTTACGCTCTCAAAACCCCTAAGAATTCCTATTTTTTGGCCCGAGTTGATTAGCATTTTGGTTGAAGAAGGAGAGATATGCTGACGTTGTTTGCCCCTGATTTAGCAATGATGTCGCGCGTGGTGCTGGCTATATCATGGACGCGTGCACTCTGAAGGACAATACTGTCCAGGGTTCTGAGTTCGCGTACGGCAACGGGGATCTCCTCGTCTGGATCCGCAAGCCTGAGTAATCGCATTCCATGGAACTTGAACTGTTCAGTTGTGGCAATCGCGTTATGAAGTAGGCGATGTGGCTGCTTGCAAAATACGCAATTGCTTACAAAGAGTAGGCAGGGGAAGTTGAAAGACGTATTGGGCCGTACATAGCGATTGATGATGATAGACGCAGTTATCCCCTCGTTACTTTCGCTGCATATATATATACTACAAATCTTTTTCACAAGAGTGTGAAATACTTTCATTATTCATGTGATAATTGCTAGAATCTGTACACTATTAAGAACCCTTAGGTGGTTCCAGTACTACAGTGGGACATTTTAGTGAAGGAGACCACTCGCCGCGGTCAGGTTCAGGCCAATGGTCACATTGCCCAGAACCGAGCTGGCGAGCCAGTTTCCAACATACGAGTTCACATCCTCGGGCTTCTCCCACATCACCCAGTGAGTGCCGTTCACCTCACCCCGCGACAGGCTGTTAAAGTAGGTCTCCATACCAGTCGACAGCACCGGAGGCAGCGCCGTATCCAGCGATCCGCCGATATACAGCGCAGGCTGCGTGTACTTGGCCGTATACGAAGCGTTGGCCGGCACCAGCGCCAGCTCGTCCTGCCAATTCAGCTCGCCGGTGCGGTACCAGTTAAGCGTCCTATTGAACGGGTCGCTGACGTAGTTTTCGACGTAGTAGTCCATCTCCTCCGCGGTCAGCAGCGGCGTGTCCTCCGTCACCTCGTCGAGCAGCTCGAACGTGAACCCCGCGCCGCTCGAGTTGAAGGCCGACCCGCCGCCGGGAAGTCGGACGCCATAGATGGTGGTCAGGATCTGGCGCACGCGGGTGGCGTTCTGGGCCTCGGGGAGGCCGATGTAGTCCTGGACGGCGTCGGTGCGGAACTGCTGCTGGTAGTGCAGCGTGGGCAGGGCGACGGCCTGGTCGATGTATGTGAGGCGCGGGGCCGCGAAGGGCGTGCTGATGACGAAGAAGGCGGAGATCAGCTCGGGGTGCCAGAGGGCGGCGCGGTAGACCACGGCACCGCCCCAGTCGTGGCCGCCGAGGATGATGCGGGAGAGGCCGAGGTGGCTTGCGAGGGCGGCGATGTCGTCTGAGGCGCGCTTGAAGGTGCTGGACAGGAACGGTAAGCATCTTTCAAGAGTATGGCATATTACGAGTCTCGACTCACTAGAAGCTAACATCTTCCGGCGCATCCGTACCGCCGTAGCCCATCATGTCAGGAGCGACAACCCGAAGGCCCTTTGAAAGAAGGTAAGGGATCTGGTTGCGCCATCCTAAGGACATATCAGGCCATCCGTGGATGAGAAAAATCGTGTCGACGACATTGCCAGAAGCTGGCTCTGCGAGGATGTAGTTGTACTTGACGCCGTTCAGCGTGGCGGTCTTGTACTTGACCCGAAGGTCATTAAGAGTTACGACAGACATCACGGCGAGTTCAAAAAGAATGTGAATGCAGTTGGTGGTGACGCCGGTGTCGTGCGTAATCAAAACAATCCCATATCGGCCGAGGGGTTCCCGTCCACTATATACAAACACCACCGGGCCACTCAGGTTCCTCGGCTGACACCATTTTGCATTGGGTAATAAAGCTTAGCAGAAAAAAAGGCGTGCCTCGGTTGCACCTATTGTGGATAGAAAAGCCGTTTTCTTTGAGATTGCCAAGATGATGCCCCTTTCTGTGGTGCTATTTGTGGAGTGACATGGGCGAAATGTTCCCTCGGAATACCCAGAAACAGCTAGGAACAGTGGCAACGCAGCGAGGACAGCCCGGGACAAGGTTAATTAGGTGTAGCGGGGCCTCCAACCGGCGTGGATTTGGGGTAGGGGTTGTTTTGATGCGTCTGACTCGGGCCGGGCGAGACGACGTCAATCCAAGCTCGTTCTCGCACACCGTGTAGGGCGCGATATGAAAAACACGAGAAATATTGGAGATGTGCTTACTGTTTTCATGCTTTCTTGAGAAGGCGAGCGTGGTCTTCAATTGTAAGGGGCCTAGTCAAATGGCTGGCCTCGTGCAACTCGGGAGAGACATTAATCGGAGAAATGTTGAGATGCGAATTGTGTTGACGCACCGCACCTCGCGTGCAGTGGAACAAGTTGCGATATCAAATTCGTCTCGGCGATAAGATTCAATCAATGCCTCTGTCATCTGGATGTCGAGGATCAATATCACCTTAGACACACCTGAGCCAACGCCGAGGTTCGAGGTTCAAAGTCCCGAGGGGCTATTAACCACTAGTTCATGCAGTGCAACGGCACAACCTCAATAACATCCGCGGCACATTGGAAGCATTCTACGACCCAAACGGCCAAGACGGTGTATTTTGTTTTTGGTATTGGTTATGGAAACCCACTGAGTCTGGAAGCTGAAGTATAGCAGCCCGATCTTCACTACTCAACGCTAGATAAGGAAGAACTCTTCGACAGATGTTTCGACTGCCCTTCTTGAGCAATTGTATCGACCCAGACAGGTACCGAAATATCAAGGAAGCTGTACTGAAATCAAGTTGACCGCTGCAATAAGCCATTCTAGCGGCCGTCGAAGTTTTGAGGCAGCCGATCAGTCCAGCGGCCCGTACCGCGGAGGCATCTGAAACTCCACATGAGGTTTGTTCTTCAACTCCTCTGGCACTGGAGGCATGACCTCCATTCCCTCCAGCAGGATAACCTGTTGGCCGCTCTGCCATCGGAGCCGAGTTAGTGACCGAGCGACTTTATAACTTGAGAGATCAAGGCTTACCGCGAAATGATGGATCATGTGACAATGCAGCATGCTAACAGCAGGAAAGTAAATCTTGTAGCGGACTACGACAAACTTCCCTTCCCCCGCTTGCAAAGTAAATCCGTCTCGGTAAGGCGGATTATCTATGTTGAAGTATTTTCCGCCCCCGTGCTTAATGGCGTCGTCGACATCTTTCCAAGGAAAGCCGCCTTGCCCCTGTCCGATGATGAAGACCTTGTGGTTGTGCTTGTGGAAAGGGTGGCTGGCATCGACTTTGGCTCCATTCTCAATGATCAAATCGACGATGGATCCGTTTTTGAGAAATCCATGTGGATTCCCCCATGACGTCTTGCCGCGGGACTTTTCGTTCCATAAAATGGGAGGGACATTCTGACGGAAGAACTCATGTGGTGCTGCATTGAGGACCCATGTCGATGGCCCCGTGTTGTTGACTGTGAATTTGAGAGTGAAATCCGCTTTCGGAGGGGGCGGTCGAGGTGGGAATGGAGATAGCCTGGTTTCTTCCATGACCTTGTTTGCAGGGTTCACAAGACTGCCATTGAGATGTAGCCACGGTTTGGTCCTGGGAACTGTTCGATTCGACGTCTTTGATAGATCCTGCGAAAACGTTTAATGAGCTCGATATCCTCTTCATATCAAGTTTGGCCGATTGGATATGTTGGCCCGATCTCACCTTCGTTGTGGCGTAGCGCAAAACACCGGCTCCCTGGATCATTTGCTCAGACCGCAGAGAATGCAGTCTCAACGCATAGTCTCCGGCAGACTTGTCCAATTTGACCAGAATGCTGCATTGAGCAAGGATCAGTACTCTAAATGATAGATAAGGGAAGCACATGAGCACCAGTCTCACCTCGTTCTTTCGCCGAGATTGACATGAGTCCTTACCACCCTTTGCGGATGTACAAATTCTCCATCGGCCCCTACAACCCAGAATTCGTGCTCATCGATACTGATAGCCAGGGAATGATGGGCACCAGAGTGGATGAAATTGATCCAGATCCATTCTTCCCCTGAATCAGCTTGGATGACTTCCAGTTCCGGGTGTGTCTCGGTGCAGTATTCGGGGTTGGTGTATTCATGGCCAGGGATTAGGTAGCGGCAGCCCCTCTCATTGCGTCCAGGTCCACCAGCATCTTCGAGATCACGAGCAGACTCGCATCGCGTGCCACCCCTCCCGTTGAGAGTCAGACTGTTGGCACATATTGGGATATATCCGGTGTCACGGAAGCGGATGAGATACATGTCCATCGGCTGATCATTCCAGTCGGCAACTATGACGTGTCGTGGATTGCTCTCTGCTGCTCGCATGGCCCGGACATCGTGCTCATTGTCAGATATGAGATGGTACGGTCGAGGACGCCAGGCAGCTGGCACAATCCAGATCGGACCCCTTTGGCCCTGATTACATCCAGGTCAGGCTGATCGACGAGCTTCAAGCGAAAGTAAGTAACACTTACATCAGAGAAGGCGGGGCCAAAGTGCCCATGGTAGAAGTAGCTTCCATACTGCCCTTCAGGTGTGAATCTATAGGTGTAGTTGTCTCTGGGCTCGGTGGCCCACTTTGTATTGTTAGATGCCCGGTGACTGACGCAGGTGATGTTCAAGGGAATGCTTGCCTGGGTAACGCCTGGTACGCCATCATTCCAGGGCTCGTGAATTTGATAAATACCGTGCCTGTGTAGCCTTAGATATTGTCTCATCTCACGAAGAATGGGTTCCACAAGAGAGTACCAGTGAATAGTGGTTTCAATTGGCAGTTGGTTGTCCACGAATGCTTCGAGGGTTTCTCCTTCTTCAACGGTGAGTACGGGCCCAGGAGTGTCTCCGTTGATGAGATAGGTCGGACGGCCATGACCATCTGCGTCTCAGTCAGAACGAATAATTGAACAGGGTCAATTGGGTCGCACCTTGTTTATCCCAAGCATACGTTAATGTGAGACTATGTCTTCGGACTTCCTTGCTCACGACCACAACAAGCGCTGACAGAAAGAAACCCACGACTCTGACATGCATCATGTCAAAAACGCTACTTCAATTTCATTCACAAAATGTCTGGCACCTTTTGGAAGAGCCTGATGAGGGCGATAGCAGGATGGACTCAAAATGCCCTGTATGATGTATTGCACCGGTGTAAGTCGAGCCTCTGCTGTGGTTCTGGCCATACAATCTGCAGCACACCGTCGGCCACCAACACACAGTTGACCCCTCGATATGTTCTTAGAGATCTGCGTCAACTATGCCACTCTCTCCAGATCAGTAATCTCTATCCGGACCATCAGCTGCCGGTGCATTGACGGGAATCCCACTAGCTCCGGGATGAAGCTTTAGGTCCGAGTCATTCGTTCTGGCACGGAACCCGAGTACTCCCCAGGGTAGGGATCCAAGCTGTGGAGTAATACGGGGAGTCGTAGTGTTCATGCGGGGGCACACGCGAGGTTCAGTAAGTGCCATTCTGGAAACCATCGCAGCTGCATTGTTTCAATGTTCGAAACTACTAGTATTTCCGAGCCTTTCGGACTTTACATTGAGTGAGTGATGTTGTGACCCAAGTAGACTTTCAAACTCCTATCCTAGCAACCTTTCATGAACAAACTGTCACAAGCGTGGTTCCACGTAATTGTCAGGGTTGCTGTCCAAGAACTCATTGACCCTGGCTGCGTTATTCTCAGCATACTGCCAGATGGACGCGTGTCCGGCACGAGGCCAAATGACTAGCATGCAGTTGGGTATCCCATCCAGAAGCTCATAGCTCCGAGGTGTAGGGACCAGGTAGTCATCATCGCCCGTCATCACGAGCACGGGCATTGTAAGCTCATGAAGTCTGTAGTACGAATGTTTGTTCTTGCCACCCGGCGCGCACCAGTTCTTGATACACGCCAACTGTATCATGAAGCTTTCCACGTCGTTGAAGGTTGGTAGTGCTCCATCGGCAGCATTTTCGTTGAACTCACTCTGTCGCAAGCGTTTGAAGTAAGAGTTCGCGGCCGCTCTGCCTTGGTCGTCATTGCGAAAGAAAGTCAGAGTGTAAGCGGCCTGCCAGTCCGCCTCAGAGGCACTGCGCTGCAAGGACAGGAAACGATCCAGGTTCGGGTCGGTCCGGGGCCAAAAGTGGTCCCCTGGTGTTGGTCCGGAGGGATCAGCGCCGACTAAGATCAGGCGCCTCACTCTATCTGGCTTTGATAGTGTTGCCATTTGACAGGCCATGCTTCCGATGGAGAAGCCAAGCAAGTCAATGTAATCGAGAGACAAGGCATCAAGGAATGCGTTCAGATCGTCTCCCATGATATTTACTATGGAGCATGGATCAGCTGACGGCTTCATTAATGATCAAGGTAGAGGAGCACATACTGTCGATTGGGGTGCGTTGGGTGTCGCCAGTGGTCTGTCCAACTGCCGGCGGGTCGAACATAATGACCGGGCGCTTCAAAGCAAGAGGGCGTATGAACACGGGATCCCAGTAACCCATCGAGGCCCTCACCTGAAAATCATCAGCTATCGGGCCTGGATCGAGCGAGTGCCACTCACATGCATGTGCAACACGAGAGGGATACCCTCGGCGGGGCCAAGTCGTCGATAGGCATAGACAATGCCATTCTTCGCCTCGACCTTCTGGACAGGGACGTAGGTGGGAAGCATACTAGTAGTGGATAGCCCAACGGAGATAATTGTTCAGGAAGTGGCTCGGGTGAGAAACCTGGGTAAGGGGCACGTCTTGTGGCCTGTTTTGATGTTTGTAATGGGCGACAGATGGTTGTTTCCTAGAACGCTCGACTATCTCCGTCGATATGCTTTTGGGATTGTTACGGCGTTAGCTACTGTTTGGAGTGAACAAGGTTCATGTGATTGATTCGAGAAGCGATACAATCGCACTTTTCGCGTCAGTAGGGGAACATCTTGGGCATTAAGGTTCTTCCATGTGATCAGAGACAGAAAGCATATTTCAGCAGAAGTCATCCGAGCCTCAATCAAGTCGTAGACTGCATGCAAGCGAATGATCGCGCAACATTCTATGGCGACGAATATCGATCCACCCTTTACCTAAACTAAATACAGTCGGTAACTTTCAACGAAAAGCTCGATGAGCATTAAAGCAACCAAAAACTCTTTGTGGAAAGGGACAAATGAAAACTACTATCGGACTTTGCAGTTGAAGTTCTTGAGTCATACATAAGGTGTCGAAAATGATGGCCTGCGTGTCGTGGAAACCGATGAGATGCCGAAGGGACGTCGCAAAACACGCACTGCATTGTGAGGAACTTTATTTCGTTTGTTTTACGTCCAACCAATCAATCACCCATCGAGACAGTTTTGTTTGACTTTATGTTGCGTATCGATCAATCCATTCCAGGTAAAGCAAGCGCCTAGTAATGTTGTTTGCTCATTAGGTTGTGCGTAATCAACTCGAGCGTCTAGCAATTCGAGGTTGTAGCACTTCACGTCCAACGTAAACTAGCTGGAAGCTTATTGACACGAGGCGGGCGCGGGCAGAAAGAATTCGGCGTTTAACTACCCAAAACAGCACTATTCTAGGCAAATTGCCCCGTGTGCCCAAGCTTAACCAAACACTCCATCGTTCTTCGGCGCGAATTCAACATGCGGCATGTGCTTCACATGCTCTGGCACCTCGTCGCGCATGCTTGAATCCATGCCCTCAAGTAGGGGTACCGACATGCCCATCTGAATGCGGGGTCAGCCAGGGCCGGGGTCAGGTAGGAGAAAAGGAGAGAGCCCGAACTCACCGCGTAGTATTTGAACTTGTTGGAGTGTAGCATGGTGGCCCCACGGACCCGAATCTGCCACCGGAGTACTGCCCAACCCAGGGGTGGCACGTCATGAACCAGCTGCAAAGGGGGATCTCGGATGAGGTGCTTTACTCCGGCTGCGAGCGCATGTTCCACGGTGTCCCATTTCCAGGTTGCGTTGGGCTGGGAACCGACAAGGAACATGGGGTCGCCGTGCTTGTAGAGTGGCATCACATCGTCGACTGTGTTCTGGACGATCACGTCGACTGTGGTTCCCCACGGCAAACCACCCACCACGGGGGGCTCCACGGCCGAGACGTTGTCAACGAATAGCAGCGGTCCCATCTGTGAGTGGTACAGTTGCCAAGGCTTCTGGTTCAGAAAGAATTCGGTAACGTGTCTCTCGTACCGCGAAGGCTGCTGGTCAATCTTGAAGTGAAGAGTGCGATTAGCCTTTGGGGGTGCAACGAGCGCGTATGGTGCCATAGATGCCGTCGACGCCATTTTGCATGAGGGTGCGACCACGCCATCGGGTCTTACACATGGCGGCGAGCCGCTTGGTGGATTCTGAACTTCCATCGGCGCCCCATGAGCTGGGTAGCGCAACGCCTTGGAGACTGTATGTTAACCTTGCTGAAATGATGTTTGATGGAGTAAACTCACGGGATATCTCAGAATCGAATACCCATGGAGGTTTTGATATTTGCTGGTCGATACGAGCCGCATCGTGTAGTCGTCGCCTGGTTGATCCAGCTTTACCAATACAGTGTAGCGGGCGCCGTTCGTGATGTAGAGAACGTCGACAAGCTTAGGCCTGATGAAGCCGCCGTCGTTTGCAACAATCCACATCTTGTGGTCGTCAATGCTGAAGTGTACGGCATGTTCGAATCCAATGTTGAGAATATTGAGCATAATCCAAGGTCTCCCGTGGGTTTCGATCACCTGTAATCGCTGTAAGTAAACGAAGAGCTGTTGTATGCGCAGCTAAAGGCCAAAGCACTTTACCTCGTAGTCAGCCTTACTGGGACTGCAGCGAACTCCATCATTTCCTTTTTCAATCACACACCCTGACGCATCCAATAGCTTTCCGTCCAGTTCAGTGAAGTCGGGATGACGGCAGTGTCGTCGACCTTTGGAGTTAACGAGGATAGAATCGTAGCAATTCAAGTTTGTCCCTTCCCCTTTCAACTCCATAACCCGCCATCCAGCATCTCGTCGATAGTAGTTATAAACCAGCATGTGTTGTGCATTCCGTTCTGCCTCGTGAATGAGGGATAAGTCTGTGGGCGACGAAGTTATTTCGTGATAAGGACGAGGGCGGTCGGGTGCCGGCGCGACGTAAGTCAGTCCGTGGGCCCCGTCCATGATCCCCAGGCCAGTATGGTCGGCATACCAGTTCAGTCCCCAATGTCCTGTGGTATCATAACGGGAGGTGAAGTTCCCTCGTTGCAGGAGTCCATACTATCGAGTCGGTCAGTGCAAGACGGGCAGACAAGAAAGGACGAGTTTTTATCTTACTTGGTTCAGGCCTCCAGTTCCGTCGTTCCAAAACCCGAATCTACCCAAATATTTTAGCTCAGTTCATGAGGTACACCATTATTTGAAAAGGACCACCAGCTTACTTTCGATGATTCATTCCCGACCAATGGATAGACACCTGAGCAAACAGATCATTGTGGACGTTCAACTCAACAATATCCCCTTCCTCGGCGTAGAGGGTTGGGCATGGTGTCTCTCCATTGCAAACATAGAAACCTCTCCAAAAACCACCATCTAAACAAATGCATCAGAAATGCCTCACACTTGACTGCGAAATTCAGAAAACGAACCTAGATTCAGCCATCGAGCCCCAACTGTAAGATTGTACCGTCTAATTACTTGCTGGGCGTGCTTGACATGCGGGCCGACGGCCGCACCCGAGATAAGTTCGTTGCGGTGACTGACAGGCCGAAAATTCCACCAACTCAGCACAAAGAGGGCGATAATCGACCCAACGAGGGACCAACGAGCTGGTCGTGAAACTGGGGCCACGATCGAAGCTCGGTCCTTACGATAGCTCTGCGCCTGACTCTCGCCACTAACAACTACGCCATTGATTTGATCACACTTCATAGGGAACTCCATGATGGGTGTTTTTCTCAACAAGAGACTCGGGGTCAAAAAAGATTAGCTGTGTCGTTAGATATGAAGCTCGCCGGCGATATCTCACAGACAGAAGATAGATTCTTTGCTTGAGTCTCCTAGGCGCAACACCGCTAGTTGTCGTCCAACGAAAAAGCGATCGCTCCGTCTCAGACACAAGCTAACCATCTAGCCTAGCCTATTTTCCATCATCGCCTTGGTACCCTTTGCTGCCCAAGGTGGGGTGTAAACATGGACCAACACATTACTCGCATTGATGCACGGCAGAGGCCAACCGAACGAACAGCTCCGTGGCCGTCGCGTGGGATGAAGCTAACCCAACCAGAACTAAAGTTTGACAACAAGTGTTGGGATGGAAAGCCTTGGGAAACCTTGCAAATCATCTGAAAGAACTTCTAGATGTAGTTAGTTTTCCGGCAAGCAGAATTCTGTCACTTCAAACATGGCTCCATGAGCTAGCTGCCGAGCGTTTGTCTGGGCAGAATTCTTTCTTTGTGCGCACCACTGGCACGGGGAACGAGCGTGAGTTCTACGACACCCTAACGTAGTACCACAATGGCGGACTAATCCGTGATCAGCTGGTATTAGCAGTATCCGAAACCTTGAGAGCTTCAAGAAATCACGACATCAACCCAAATTGTTCGGAGGTTTTGTGAAACAACATCTTCATTCAGCGCTCTTGAGTCGAGAAACTTCCAGCTCACCAGCTAGAGCTTTTTGTTCCAGGACCAGGTCCGTAATTTGAGAAAAACGGATCAAGTAATGGCCCAGTCAACTTGGGATCATATGGAATCCCTTCAACAGCATCTGATAGGTTTTGGTGGCACTTTTCTCTCCACTTTTCAAATAACGAGCCTCCAGCATTTGGGCTTGTGGCGTCCTCCACAGCTCACTTGTAGTAGTCAAGACTTACCGCAATTCGCGACGAGAAAAATGGAATCAGCTTCAGTAGTCAGGACGCCACTTTGGGACTCGGTAAGCCGTATCAAGTGTCGTAACAAGCTCGCATGCTGACCGCAGTAAACAGCCATTCAAAGACAAAACGAAGTCTCGAGTGAGCCGAATTAAGATCAATACGAATGGAAACACGCGAAACAACCTAGTCACCAGGTCGGCGCTCTTATCAGTGTCGAAATGGCTGCCACCCAGGGACGAGCATAGCGACTACTGGTGGAGCATGGTTGGGCCTCATTTCGCTGCTCTTTTTCGCAACGCGGACTACAGTCTGGAGGCCCAATATGAGTTTCTCCTATTCATCTATCACCAGGTGGCTCCGCGACTGGGGTCTTCCCCTCGCGTGCTTGCGTTAGGATCCGCAAAGGGGGACAGCGGACTTTCTCTGGATGGGACACACATCGAGTACAGCTGGAGGTGGAACGAAGCCAGCACGAAGCCTGAAATCCGCATGGTCATGGAGCCATTCAGTCGATTTGCAGGCACTCATATGGATCCTTTGAACATCAAACCGGCGACGGAGATGCTGTACTCTATGGGACCCCAAATTCCGTCCCTCGACATGAGCTGGTTCAATCACTTTATCGGGAAATTCTACGACGCTGCACAGCACAAGTACTTGGAGACTAATGAACGGCCAATAATGACGAACGTATGTCTCGGGTTCGAATTTCTGGGGCATGAGATCCTCCCGAAGGCGTACTTCTTCCCGCGCAAGCTTGGTCAAGTCGGTCTTACTCCCATGGCCGTCTGGGAAGATGCTATCACCTCTGCAGTCCCCGATACACCAACCATCGGCACCGTGTTCTCCTTCGTCAACGGAGAGGCGCCAGACCTGGGCTTGACACTCACACCGCTTTGGTTGGGTATTGATGTTGTCCGTCCAGCGGATGCGCGCCTCAAGCTCTACTGCGTCGAGTCTCGTACGTCGTTCAAAAGTGTCAAGTCCATTCTAACGATGGGGGGCAAGATTGGCATTCCCAGGGATCTACTTGAAAAGGCCTGGGAGCTGATGAAGGCTGTTTGCAATCTCCCTGCAGACTTCCCTCAGGATGAGGATCTCCCAAAAGCACCCCAGTACAACGTTTCAACCGATGGCGTTGACACTGCGGGCCTTTGGGGGACCTTTGCGTACTACTTTGACATCGGACTTCGTCAACAAGAGTTACCCGACGTGAAGTTTTACATTCCAGTATGTCACTACGGCGCAGATGATCAGGCAATTGCAGAGGCAATCATGAAGTGGATGGTAGATAATGATCGAGGTCAATATGTGGACGCATACTGGAGTTCTCTTCGCGATATCATACCGCACAGGGAACTGAAGGAGTCTCGTGGTGTTCACATGTGGCTGTCGATGATGTTCAGAGGGGGCAGACTGCAGATTACGACATACATTGCACCAGAGGGACACCATCCCAAGCGCCACGGGGGGGCTGCAGGGGTGCACAGAGAAATCGCTGTGCGAGTTACAGGATTCTAGAATGTGAAATAAGTAGTTAAATTGGACAATAAAGTTTGTGCTCCAATTCTTGCTTGCGCGGCGAGGAAGACATGCCGGCGACCCTCTTGGATCTTCAGACCAACGACCCGGTGAAACAAGCTGCACGTGTCATGGATGCAACCCGCTGACCCAGAGGAATTTCTGCTTTCCTTCCGCGGTGGCAACTCGGGACGATCCCTTCCACACGGCAGACTATTGCAAGGCACGTGCATAAGGAATGAGACCCTTGCGTGGAGGAGAGTTCAGCTGAGCAAACATGAAAGTAAAAGACTGCAATGTAAGGTTTCCGGCAGCCCACCACCATCACAGCTGCCGGCTAGAACATTAGCAGAGTCATGTAATGCGTGACAAGTTTGGAGTGTGGTATCCGGATTCTTACTTTCTTTGTATACGATGGCGTCGCATTCGGCCTCAAACTCCGATGCTGGCAAGCATGTCGGTTAGTTCTCATGAATCACGAACAGGCTGATCTATGGGCTCACTTTGAAGTCCTATCCATGCGCGATTGACGGTCAAAGCTCCTTGCGTCTCTTGATCCAAGCTCCGCTCAGGATGGCGTTCACACGGTCTGGAAAACCTCAACTGGTCGTTCCTGGTGGGACTGTGGGCAGAGGAACTACACGTCGAAATTGGACCTCCCTATTTGAAAATCGGTCAACAGGCTTTGAAAATCATCGATTGTTGCAACAGGTCAACCGGGTCAAACAGTCTCGCAATGAACCAAATTCGCAAATCAGTTCCTTCTATGCTGGCCTTTGGGCCTCAAGGACGAGTGCCCCACGAGGATCTTTATGAGCTACGTCGCCTCCTCAATTCCACTCCACAGCTCTCGAAGATGGTTACAGCCATTCACAAACTACCCTCGCTCTGGCCCAGGTTGATAATATTCGACTCTGAATTGTTGAAAGTTGAAGGAGAGTCATATTTGCAATCTTTGACAGGATGGCTCACCAACGATGGATTGCTCCCGTGTGACGAAGGGGGGCTTCCACCTATGATTGCTTTCCCAATTAATTTCCTTGTACAAATGATCCAATACATCATGTTTGCAAGGCAACTGGGTAGTGGGGATTTCCAGTTGACCATGCTGCAAAAGCTCCAAACAGGGGGGATTTGCGGCTTCTGTGTTGGTTTTCTCTGTGCTGTCACTGTGGCAGTTTCTCAGACCGAAGAGGCGCTTCTTGACATGACCATCCGTGCTTTGCAGCTAGCAGTCTGTGTGGGTGCCTACGTCGAAAGGGACAGGATCCGATTTGAGTCAGGCTGTGTTTCAATCAGGGGAAGAAAGAATGTGTCACAGCATAAGGAGACGATTGAGAAGATAATTCGCAAGTTTCCCGAGGTATGCACCATTTCAATCGCTCCGACCCTCGAAATCAGCAAGCTAATTTATCAGACTTATGTTTCTGCGACGACCGACGAGGCTTCCGTCACACTCACAACACCCCGCCATAGCCTTTCGAGTCTAAAAGATGCCTTCGCGACAGTTGGGCTCGTCGCTGACGTCCCGATCAGGGGACGATTTCATTCTTCCATATATTCTCTCGAAGTAGAACGACTCACCCACTTTTTTGAACAGGAGCCAGACCTACAATTTCCTTGTCCGGACCGGCTACACGTCCCAGTCAGATCTACAGTTGATGGGAGGTTCGTCGCTGGAAACAGTCTCGTTCGAGCAATATTGAATGATACCCTACTATTGCCTGTAGACTGGTACCGGACGCTCAAAGTCGCAGTTGGTTCTCTGCCACCGGGGCAGACCTGCGTCATGATGGCAGGCGTCTCACAGCACTTCCCTCCATCCTTAGGTGGAAATCTGGATCTTCGCTTCTTTAGCCTGCGACATCCGCTTGAACTTTCCACGAGACCGGCTCATGAGGGATTCGTCAAGAAAGGGGAAGCCACATATTCACTAATGCAGACACCTCCTGATACCCCTCCAGGGAGCATCCGCAATGAGGAAGCAACAGGTCTAAAATGTGACTACGAATCACTTTCAGACGCGAAAAGAAAGCGTACACTGTCTGAGTTCCCGTCACACGCAGTCGCAGTCGTCGGTATGGCTGGAATATTTCCCGACGCCAAATCGGTCGATGAGTTGTGGAATCTCATGTCGACGGGGCGGTCAACAGTTGCTCCTGCACCCGAACGAGTTGGACTAGACCAGCTTGCCGAAGATGTCTTCAAGGTCAAATGGTGGGGCAACTTCATTGACCAACACGATACATTCGATCACAAGTTCTTCAATAAGTCGACCCGAGAGGCGACGGCTTGTGATCCGCAGCAGAGGAAGCTACTTGAGGTGGTGTACGAGGCTCTGTCATCTTCAGGGCAACTCAGTCCAGAGACACATTCGAATCCACAAGACTACGGATGTTACATCGGAGCCGTGATGAACAACTATGCCGAGAACCTAAGCTGCCACCCTCCTACGGCATATGCAACGACGGGCACTGGTAGATCCTATCTGAGTGGTGCCATCAGTCATCACTTCGGCTGGAGCGGACCAGCCATGACTATTGATACGGCTTGTTCGTCTTCGCTTGTGGCTATACATACCGCTTGCCGTGCCATTGCGTCCGGAGAATGCAGCCGTGCGGTCGCAGGAGGCGCGAATATCATCACCTGCCCGCATGACTACCGAGATCTAAAGGCAGCAGGCTTTCTGAGTCCCAACGGTCAATGCAAGCCGTTTGATGCACAGGCCGACGGATACTGTCGTGGCGAAGGCGTCGGTGTTGTCGTCTTGAAATCTCTATCCGCCGCTCTCGAAGAAGACGACATTATTCTTGGAGTTGTCATCGGCTCTGCCACCAACCAGAACCATGAAGGAGGGCCCATAGTGGTGCCGAGTGCAAAGTCTCAGGCGAGTCTTCTAAGAAAAGTCATGGACTTGGCGAATGTTACACGTGAGGATGTGTCGTACGTCGAAGCCCATGGCACCGGCACAAGCGTTGGTGATCCGATCGAGGTTTCCAGTCTGCGAGAAGCTTTCGGTGGGGCCTCCAGAACGTCGAAGCTGTACTTCTCTTCCATCAAGGGAAATATTGGCCACGCTGAAGCAGCTTCTGGTGCGGCCGGCTTGATCAAAACGCTTCTCATGTTGAAAAATAGCCGCATACCCCCGCAGGCTAGCTTTCAATCATTGAACCCCAACATACCGACACTGGCTCCTGATAAGATGGAGATTCCCCGACAACTAACTCCATGGGACGCAAGAGAACGAATCGCTTGTGTCAACAACTACGGCGCCGCTGGAAGCAATTCGGTTGTGATGATCCGCGATGCCCCTACAAATGAGTCGGACTTGGGGGTACTAGATGAGCAGCCAGTTGCACCATCAAAATGGCCGCTTATCCTATCCGCTTCGGATGAAGAATCGCTGTCGCAATACGCCCAGGAAGTGCTTGATTTGGTGCGACGCGTGGGTCCAGCGAAGCCATCCGGTTTCGATCTTCCAGACATTCTCTTTCACTTGGCCCAACGTGCCAATCATGCTCTTAAAATTGTCGTTTCGACAACGGTGTCTGATATGAGAGAGCTCGAGATGATTCTCTCCCAGGTGGCTTCAAGGTGTAGCTTAATAACAAAAGTTTTGTCGCCGCCACCGATCATCCTCGTCTTTGGTGGCCAAGACGGTCGCTATGTCGGTCTCTCAGAAGATATGTACAAATCATCGCAAATATTACGACACCATCTGAACAGTTGCCAGCACGTCTGTTTGAAACTCGGATTCGAGGGCATTTTCCCAGCGATCTTCCAGCGAACCCCAATTTCAGACCTCGTAACGCTGCACACTGCTTTGTTCGCAATTCAGTACTCCTCCGCCAGAGCATGGATGGACTGTGGGCTCAAGATAGAGGCAGTTGTGGGTCACAGTTTCGGCCAACTAACAGCACTTTGCATCTCTGGGGCTTTGTCACTGAGCGACGCTTTGAAGTTAGTGGCAGGCAGGGCATCCCTTGTGGAAAAGTCTTGGGGTCCTGAGCCAGGCTCAATGCTTGCATTGAACGCTGATCGAGAATACGTCACTCTTCTACTTAGACAAGTCGAGGGTCTTGAGGTGGCTTGTTTCAACGGACCCAGAAGCCACGTTGTCGTTGGTTCTGCTAAGGCTATCCGGGATGCAGAGACTTTGATCACTCGTGATGAGACGATGCGAGGCTCGGTTCGTTGCCAGACTTTGGATGTCACCCACGGATTTCATTCGGCCCTCGCAGAACCCTTGCTTCAACAGCTTTTGGAGCTCGCGGAGAGTCTCTGCTGGAAGACTCCAACGATTCACCTTGAAGTTTGCAGCGACAAGCATGGTGATAGTATGCCTGATTCGCATCTTGTCGTGGAACATATGAGAGGCCCGGTATGTTTCCATCATGCGATTGAACGGCTTTTACAGAAATATCCCCGAGCTACTTGGATTGAGGCTGGACGAGGGACCTCCGCCACCCAGCTCGTTCGGTCATGCATTCAATCTCAAAACGGTCACTCTTTCGTGGGCCCACAGTTGACTGCCTCGTCTGCTCAAGATTCTCTCGTTGATGCCGCGATCAAGTTGTGGAAGGAAGGGCACAATGTGCAATACTGGCCGTTCCACCGACGTCAGAGACGCCAATACCAATCTCTCAGCTTGCCGCCCTACCAGTTTCAGAAGACTCGACATTGGTTACCTTATATCGGTCTAAAACACGGCGCAGAAAGTCCGGCTCGTCCCTTGACAGAAGGTCCGGACCCTGAGGAATTCCTGTCTTTGATCAAAGGCGACAGTTCGACGGAGAGCTACTTCAAGATTTCAGCCAAAAGTGAGCGCTTTCAATCCTTGGTGAAGGGACACATCATGTGCGAATATGCGAGCATGCCGGCTTCGGCGTACATAGAGGCTGTTTCCAGAGCTGCTCTGAAGCTTCAAGACTTGGATCTCGCCGCATGGAGGCCTGCCGTTGAAGATCTCACTATGAAGGCACCGGTTGTTTTAAATCTGGACAAAGAGCCTCCTAAAATTCTTCTTAGTATGCGACGCATCGAAAATACTTGGCCGTCATGGTTCTTTTCTATCACGGTGGAGCACATACAGAAAGCTGGCGAAGACATGATTGATGTTCAGGAGACAACGACTGGCATGGTACACCTAAGAGAGCGAAACGACCCTAGAGTTACACAAGAGTTCCGCCGATTTGGATCGCTAATCGGAGACTGTCGCTGGCAAAATATTATGGAGCACCCTGATGCGGAGGCCATGCAAGGGAAGCATATCTACAGAGCATTTGAGGGAGTCGTTCAGTACTCAGATGCATTCAAGGGGATCAAGGCCATCGCCAGCTTGGGGACCGAAGCCGCAGGTGTGGTGAGAATCTCGCACGACAGCCATGGAACGCTCGATCAGCGGCTTGTCGACACGCCAATGATTGACAGCTTCTTGCAGTTCGGTGGCTTCTTAGTCAACTACTTCAATATAACAACAACGCCCGACAGCCTGTTGGTCTGCCATCGAATCCAGCGTTTGCAGCTCGGTCCCGCTTTCTCCCCGGATGTCAAAGATTGGCTTGTTCTTGCGAATATGACTTCTGAAAACGACGAGAACGTGTCCGTCGATGTTTATGTTTCCGAGGCACAGACCAAGAAGATGGTCCTCATCGCATTTGCTATGGGCTTTACGAAGATATCTCGAACATCCCTCACGAGGATTTTACGTGGCTCCTCTAAGGACCCAGCCTCGTCGTCCGTCATTTGCACAGAGGAGACAACTCTCCCATCTGAGACTAATACGTCCGAAGAGGTCAGCATCAGAAACAAGGGCGGGTCTACTAGCAAACGATCGGAGGTACTCAAGATCGCGGCTAGTATCGCAGACATTCCTATCGACGACCTTTCTGGCAAAGAGGCTCTCCCTGATGTTGGCATCGACTCCTTGGGGGCTACTGAGATGATCGGTGATATCGCCTCGGCACTGAATGTGACAATCGATTTGTCTACGTTTTTACTATTTACCGATATTAACGCCATCGTTTCTCATGTTGATAGAGAGCTAGGCTTAAGTTCTGCGAACGAGGAAAGCCCAGCATCTCAAGTCCCCCCAGAGCCACCGACAAGAAATAGAGGGTTGCAAAGTCTGTCAAACTTACCAACCCAACGGCCTGCGCAACGATCTCCGAGGGAGTTCAAAGACACACCAGGGTCATGCGGTGGGTTCAATGAGAAGACAGAAGAACTGCCAACCATCAATTCCATTCACAAATCTTTGGATGAGGTGCGGCTCAGCTTTGACCGGCTCGGGGCATCGACGAGCGCTCTCGACTATTGGTCTGAGATTCATCCTGGCGATGTTCGTCTAGTCCTGGCCTACGTATCTCAGGCTTTCCAGACCTTAGGTTGCGATCTACTGGCACTGAATCCTGGAGATACCGTGCCGATTGTGACAGGCATTTTGCCTCGTCACCAGCAGCTCGTACATCGGCTTTACCGCTTTTTGGAAGACGAAAACATCGTAGAGTCTTCCGGGGACTGTTTCATCAGGACTAGCAAGACCATGGACACCACATCAGGAGAACAGGTTTTCCAGCATATCATAGACAAACACCCCCTAAACGCTCCAATTCGTCACCTTCTAAGAGCTGTAGGGCCTCATCTCGCTGCGTGCCTCGTTGGAGATCATGACGTCCTCCAAGTGCTCTTCGGCAACCGAGCAAACAAGAGGTGGCTCGACGATCTTTATCGAAAGTGGCCCATGTTAGTAACAGCCACTCATCTGCTGGGCGATTTCTTGTGTCGATCTTTCAGTCATAGTAGCGGTTCTGGCCCATTCCGCATCTTAGAAGTTGGAGCTGGCACAGGAGGCACAACGCGCCATGTCGTTGACTTACTGGTCCAAGTCGGAATCCCTTTCGAGTACCATTTCACCGACCTATCTGCATCGCTTGTCCAGAAGGCCAAGACTTCTTTCGCAGGAATCAGCGGCATGACCTTTGGGGTTTTGGACATCGAGAGCGAGCCGACTGCTGAGCTCACTGAGGCGTTCCACGTCATCATATCGACGAATTGCATCCACGCAACTAGGAACATAACCTCAAGCCTGGCCAATCTGCGCAAGATGCTCCGTGAAGACGGTGCCCTTGCCCTGATTGAGATGACGCCAACTCGGCAGCTGTACGTCTTTGATATAATCGTCGGTCTGCTGGAGGGCTGGTGGCTCTTTAACGATGGTCGTTCCCATGCCTTGGCTGATGCGGAACATTGGCAACATGCTTTTTTAAGCGCAGGCTTTGCAGATGTACAATGGTCTGATGGAGAGTCGCTCGAGGCCAAGACTGTCAGAGTGATATGTGGGTTTCAGAAGCCTGGGTCTGCCCGACTTGACACAGGTGCCGACAAGATCGAACACGGTCAGGTGGAGATTGACGTGCAGGAAGTGGTCTACAAAACAGTGGGGTCCCAACAGATTCACGCAGATATTTATTATCCTCAAGTGGCAAACCCAGCCAAGAAGATGCCGATCGGTGGGTTGCTCAGAGTCCAGCAGGTGCTTGGGAACGGGGATTTTCTAACATGAAGCAATCAGCTCTGATGATACATGGAGGAAGTCACATCATTTTCTCCCGCAAGGATATCAGACCTCCGCAGACGCGCATCATGATTGACATGGGGCTTTTGCCAGTCAGCCTCGACCATCGGCTATGCCCGGAGTCCCGACTTGCTGACGGTCCCATGGTTGATGTATGCGATGCACTTGAATGGGCTCAAAAGATACTGCCGTACGTCGAACTGAGGAACCCCGACGTCAGACCTGATCCAGACAACATCGTGGTTGTGGGATGGTCCTCCGGAGGGCAGCTGGCATTGTCGACTGGATGGACGGCACCAGAGAGAGGGCTTCGATCGCCGAATGCTATCTTGGCTTTCTACTGTCCTACTGACTATGAGGATGACTGTGGGTTGAACGTGTTGCTTGCGTCTTGTGTATGGATGCTGATCTGCAAGTACAGGGTGGCAATCTCCCATTCAACCCGTTGGAGCAGAGGACTTGGGTGAAGAATACGACGTTTTAGAGGCTGTCCAAGATGAGCCTGTGAGCTTCCCTGACCACATCATGAAACCACCTTCAGCCGTCTTACTGACTTCTATCATGTGATACAGATTGCCAACTATGGCACTATCGGCGCCTGGGAACCGCTTTCAGACCCCCGAATCCGCACTGATCCTCGTTCTCGTATCATCTTACACATGAATTGGAAAGCCCAAACGCTACCAATCATTATTGAAGGCTTACCCAGCAGAAGGCTCGCAGGTTCGAGAAGACCCGAGATAACGGACTGGAACACACTGCCACAGCCTTCAACAGAGGAGGTCCGGCGGTGTAGTCCGTTGGCACAAGTAAAGAACGGCCGTTACCAAACTCCCACATTCTTAATACATGGAACTGGCGACGATCTCATTCCGTGGCAACAGTCCAGTCGCACAGCCGAAGAGATGAGAGCCCGGGGCATTGATGTCAGTTTGGTTTTAGTACCAGAGGCACCTCACATCTGTGACGCAAGTCGTGATCAGTCGTCGGAGGGATGGTTGGCAGTTTTGAAAGCTTACAGATGGCTTGAAAAACATGCATACTCTCGTGGTCTCAATTAATCTCAATGAACATTAAGTCAGCGCCGAACTACAACAGACGTCTGGCCACATGTAAATTAGGGTTTTTACCTTGGTGGGACCCAAGGAGATTTTCAAGGACTGCCAAGGACAAACCTCAACCTTGAAATCATACATGCCTTGAAGAACGATTTTCATGTGTATCAGTCAAATCATATAAACTCAGCATTGCGTCCGAGATATCCTCACGTTATTCGACTTCGCAACAGCTCACCTCGAATTGGACTATCAACGATTGAGCCGTTCTATTAACAGTGCTTTATTCAATATCTTCCACACCATTCGACAATAAGACTGAACCAGATAAATGGTGAGTTTATGTCGCCTAAATCCTTTTGACCCATTATTTTCTGGCTTAAACTCCTTGCACCTGGGGCTCCGTGGCTTCGCAGACAAATACTGAAACGAACTCCTTGATTTCGACATCGATCCATTCCCATAGATCGTCATTCTTCCGCACCTCTCTACCTGCCTCATCATCAAATCCCCAAGAGCCCCAGGCGCCTGGAATTGCTTCAAGCATGCCAAGAAACTCGACTGCGTTCATCGAAGAGGTCGAGGATTCTTGAATGAGGTCTCTCTCATTCCAGATACTCTCAAACGTGCGGTCCTGGGCATGGAAGGCTTCATCATCATAGTACCTTTTGCACCCTGGCTTTTTTCGAATGCTCCGGTCAACCAGAATGAATGGATAATCGGCCGTTCCATCTTCGAGGCCCTCGAAGTCCGCAATTGAGTCTATCATAAGGTTCAGAAAGCAGGCTCTCGGGCCAGGCCTCTTTCTATCGTCTCCTTTTTCGGATCAAAAGCCCATGAGCTATCGTACTCAAAAGCGACGTTCATAGGACCGCGCCATCCATACCAAGAGTCGCTCCAGAATGGTAGCTTGTTCCGCGAGTCGAAGTCGTTGTAGACTGCATCTTCGGGTATTTGCAAGCAAATAAGGTCTGTCCGAGGGTTTACTGTGAAGCCGTACGTTTTGTCACCTTCGCAGATAACACCGACCATTTGAGGAGTAAGATCTCTTCTGGTGGGATCCACTGAACGTACTTCTTCGTTCTCTCCTTCCACTTGTTTTTCATTACTTCCCTGAAGTCTCTGCATGCAGTCCAAAGACCAGCGTCGAGGAGGTACTCGGACCAGTTCCCTGCTATGGACGAAAGGTCGACACCTGTAATTGTAACAGGATAGGGGTTATTATCCATGCGCCTTTGATAATACGATAACCTTCTCGGAGGGCGTGGCGGCGTGCTTTGCGGCGTAGAGCTCACGGGAATGAAGTGCAATCCTGGTCGAGATGTACGGACTGAAGCAGCGAGCTCCCAAACTGTCAGCCTCAATTCTGCTGGGAGGTCGGCGAAGGTTAAGGGAGTCTTTGCCGACATTGTTGACGAAATTTGGGAGCAGAAGTCAAGTTGTGTCTTGTGAGCCTGAAAGAGAAACGAGAGTTGAGTGTGTTCGACGGAAGATTTTGCACACAGTCAGACGGTGCGGCGACATTTTATAATGAACTTGACTGACCTTGTTGGTGGCGTACACCCTGAGCCACTCAAGCCACAATAAAGTAGAAAGTTTCACAGATATTCCAAAGGTGTTCCCAAGTGGACCGACAAATGCTCACCTCAGTTTATAGAGGTGTACACAAGGTTGTTTGTCAACCTCATGCTTCGAAGAACATCACGTTACTTTATACCCAGATGAACGCGGGCAAGAGGCCCCTTCAGACCTGCCCCGTTGGGAATCCAAACGCTGCTATTGGTCCAGCCGGTGCCCAAAATCTCTCGATTGCAACCTTTTAAAGGGCAAGAGCTTAATACTTGCGAAAGTGCAGGGATTCATAAACCTTTCATGATTTATACAACCTACTTTAAGGGCATTTTCTGTGTAAAACGTCGTCAAGGTCATTAGAAATATGGGAACCTGGATCTTGAAGTGTGATAACGCAGGGATGACCACGATGTGCCTATACTGCGAACATTTCGATCAACATGTAATTGCATCAGAATGTATTTCTAGAAGATACTAAAATTCTTTCATTCTTCAAACACCGGCAAGATCAATAATTCGGTCAAACACAAACTCTATCTTGGATCCTAGACTGGGGTTATCGGCCGACGACTTCGTAATGGACGTGTGGTAGGTTCTGCTGCTTCCATTTCTCATGACAGATTTGCTCAAATGAACCACCCCTTTTTGAGCTCATCTCGGAAACTTTTTACGTCGTCTCTACATTCTCTTGGCCAAAGGTTGTACATGTTTGATTTATTGAAGAGAGTCCTTTCATGGTATAAACTGTCTGGCTTGCTTTAATATAAGGCGATTAAGATTTCGAAAATACAAAGAAGTAAAGTTTTCACGCCGTTGAGGTAGCTCTGACCGCAGCAACCAGTTGGAGCCGAAATCCGAGGTCCAAGTGGGGGAAAGGATAAGTTGACACAAAGTGAATGCAGTGTGGGTTTCGAACATGATGTTCGAAATGAGACACAAATTTACCACAAACCTCAACTCAGTTGGGACGGTCGACTCGAAAGGATGCATATTAGACTTCCTCGACTGCAATCGCGTATAGAGACTATGAGGGTCGTTACAGCACCACCAAGTGTCCAGGAAAAGTTCCGGATGTCTACATATATTTCTCTAACCATCCAGCTACACCGAGCGGCAACACTCCAATACGTTTTGGCTTCTTTCCTGTCACGAAAACTCATTTCACTCACTGTATCCATAAATGTTGGAACAAACCCCACCGTGGGTAGCTGAATTGGATACGTAGGCCGACTGTGTATCGAAGCGTCTATGAGAGTGCTGCCTTGCCAGAACACTCGACACCAGGGGCAGCTAGTCAAAAGTCAATCTTCTTTGCGATCTCATCGAAGAAAAGAAGTTACATTACATTCCATGCAGGGCAGAATTTGCCGCTCAAGTCTGATATCTAGCGTCTTCTTCATCGTTGATTGCGAGCACAGTCGCAAAATCTCTGATGGTAATGTTTTGCCAAGTCTTTCCCTGGATCTTTCGCTCCTCATGAGAGAGTTCGTCATCATAGTCAAGACACCCCCAAAATCCCCTGACATCAATGGCCCTGAGAAATTCAAGAGCATTCATTTTGCCAGGCTTCAGCGTCTCTTCCATGAGATCCCATGCGGTGATTACTGTTCCGAACGTGCGCCCTTGAGAATGAAGCTCGATGAGATCTCCATAACTGTCTTCGCCCGGCACCCGACGTACGGTTCTATCGAGTAGGAAGATCTTAGGTAGATATCGGAGTTCGTCGATGTTTTCAATCGTGTTGCGTAAAAGACGCACGAAGAACCCGCGCGGCCCGCGGTCATGGTACATCCTGTCCAGCGCGGCCAAATCCAAGCCTGACTTTATATCGGCGGTCCAAGAGGGATCGAACTCCACCGCAATCTTTCTCAGGCCTTCAATGGGAAGACAGACTACGTCCCAGAAGATATCCATATCCAAATTCGGGACTGTGAGTTGCGAGAAATCGAAGCAGAAGACATCTCGAACGCTGTCCACGTCGAAGACCCAATCCTCATCGCCCTCTCTGAAGGTTCCGAATTTTGGTCTCTGGGCGTCCTCTGAATCCTTCCGCTCCATCCGCCCCCTCTGCCGTTCTTTAATCAGCACTCTAGTAGACTCTTCGCACGCGGTCCACATTCCTACAGCAATCAAGTAATCCGACTCATTGTTCTCCACCCATGACAGTGTGCCCCGAGGCATGGTCTTCGGAGAGAGCAGTTCGCCGGTCTCTCTTTTGTCCAAAAGCATTAGAGCCCGCAAGGTGTCCATCACATTGCCGGTCTCGCTTCTGCACAAAAGCGTTCTATCCCGCTTCCAGATATGATATACGTCAAGGTCAATCGGTATGAAATGAATCCGAGGCTGTGCCGCAGTGCAGGCGGCCAACTCCCAAACATGCAGCCGGAGTTCTGTCGGGAGATCGGCGAAGCGATGGAAGGTGGTGGTCGCCATCTTTGTGACTGCGTTTGATGTTTGACAGTGTCGTCCTGGAGTACGTATCGCGTGGGTAAGTTGATCTATTCCAGAGAGTTTGCAAATCCTTCATCAGACGAAAGGGACTTTTATTGGAAATTTCATTCTAGCGGAGACCGCATCGGTTCTACGAAGCTACAAAGACAAAGGTCCTTAGGCCCACAGGGTTGTTGAAATTTTGGCCGTTCGTGTAGTTTGGAACGCAGCCATTAAGGTAGGGTTTGAAACTTAATTGTTTGAACCTTGAGATTCTTCAGCTAAGCGTACGCAACTACCTACGGTCAACTTCAATATATACTGACCAATAAACGGGCTATTTTCGACGAGCTCAACATGAGGCATTTTGAGATCAAGTAGCGCCTCAAACCAATTGCTATCGAAGTTTTACCTGAATCAATCGGAAGAAAGATTTTGCTCGATTCAACTTAATGGCAGACGTCGAAGCCGTCTGGAGGCATTGTCAACAACGATCCTGCACAACCTCAATTCGAGGGCTAGGCTATCAAGCCCAGTAGGATTGGATTAATCCCATTGGCGAATGCTCCTCAGACCCCGCAACGTGATGAACGCGGGGGAAAGGATAAGCAGACACGACGCGACTGGCGGAGCGTCACATCGGCTACATCATCACTCAATTATGGGCGCTAGAACACACACAGCCCCTTTCGAATCATCAGGTCCCTCATCATGAGCGGCTCATTGCAAGGCCGCGTGGCCTTCTCTTGTACCATTTTGTTCGTCGTAAATCAACCTCGCAGTTCGGTGAAGCAACATTTCTCATTACTTCTCATCTATCTTGGCGCCGCAAACGGCTGACAGGCGAAATCAAAGGCTGAGCGGCACAGCACAGCACACTGAAAAGCCGCTCCTCAGGGCGTCTTAGACCAGCTAAGCAGGGCAAAATCCTCCGGCGCCCGGGCCCGGCATCCCGCGACGACCCGCGCCGAAAAACCGGATCACGAGGTTGTCATTGAGGCGAGGCTTTTTCAGCTCATATCTCAACTTGTCATATATTTTCCACAGAAGAGAAGCTCAATTGGAAAAGGGATTGCTTGAACCTTCCAGATCACAAGTCAACATCTTTCCCCTCAGAGAAGCATCATCATGTGGACCAAGAACAAGTCCAAGGCCCCACAAGACGCCTCCCCTGGGCCTAGCACCGGCTCCGGTCCCATCTCCGCCGGCCCCGCTCCTCCCGCCTACACCTCCGACCCCCCATCCTCCCTCACCGACCCCCTCGAGAACCTGTCCATCTCCCATTCCCCCACTGCAGTCCCAACAGAATCGCACTGCCTCGCCCACCTCCGCCTCCTCTACGCCTTCAACCGCCTCAAAACGGAGACAGGCTACCGCAACGGCCTCTGGAACATCTTCGACTCCCGCGCCGGGCCCCAGACCTCCGCCAACAACAGCAAAAACACCGCGATCCCAGACCCCGCGGAGCCAAGCGTAGATGTCCTCGTCAAGCTCCGCGAGAAGCGATGGGCCGTCTACGTCGCGCACGCAGTCTCGCGCTACGAGGCGTGGTGGTCCTCCTTCGTCCCGGACATGCTCCTCGAGAAAGACATGCTCGACCCAGACGAGGGGCGGAAGGATCGGTATGAGGGGTTCGTGAGACGCGAAGGCACGGTGTGGAACGCGGACATGCTGCCGCCACTGGGTCTCCTCCCCCTTCCCTACTTTGTGAACTGCAATTGCTGACGCGTGATGCAGACGTCCTCCTCGTCTGGCACGCGCACATGCTCAACCCCAGAATCTATCTCGAAGACTGCCTCCGCCACGACTACGCCGCGCTCTGGACCTCTGGCATGCCTTGGGCAATCATCAACGCCGCCATCCGCGGGCCGACGTTCGAGTACGTCGTCTCAGAGGCGTGCGTCGCCCACTGGACGTCGCGGACGAACCTCGCCTGGAGAAACGAAGACGACCCAGACACGAAAGAGATCAAGTGTCCAAGCTGCGCTGCGACGGTCTCAGTCCCGTGGACGACATGCGGGCAGGAGGAGGGTTATCAGGGGAGCCAGTACGTGAAACCCGTACCTCTTGTTAATCTCCACACTCAAACTGGAACGTTCCGGAGTCGTCTTTGCTGTCAGAACGAGAAACATATCACGCATGAACCAAACTAACACAAACACAGCCGACCTGGCCTCTCAGGCTCCGGCCTCGCAGACGGCCACCTCTCGCAAACCTGCCCCTGCACCTTCACCATAACCCACCAAGCCCTGCGAACCGCCAAATTCCTCGCAGACATCCAAGCGTCGATAAAGCAAGGCCACGCGATGCCAGGCACGATTCTCGACCTGCAGAGCGGAATCCCAAAGCTCCTTTCATCCGCTTCCTCGAGCAGCACGTCTTCCCCGATACCAGACCAGCTGTTCCCATCGCACCTCGCCCGCCGCGGTCTTCTCTCCCCTGTGCTTTCCCTTCTGGCCCCCGGCTCCCCAACGCCCGCATCCATGACTGCCGTCCGCGACGTGATCGAGGAGACCTTCACGGGCAAGTTCGCGGACCCGAAGAACCTGCGGGAGGTCATGTCGCGGCACGGGCACAAGAAGGTCACGGAGTTCAGGCTGAGCCTGGAGGGCCGACGGCAGACACGGAAGATGATGTCGCGCTACTGGGAGAACGCTAGCATGTTGGGCATAGATCTCGTGGGCTGCGTGATGAGGCAGGGCGTGTTTACTGAAAAGATGTGCAAGGTCAGCTTCTCTCCTCCTGTCCTTTCTATGCCAAATCTTTGGACCGAGTAAGATTACTCGTTTGAGACGCGGTGATGTTGATGAACGGTCTGCAACAGATCAACTGGCTCTCGCTCCCGACAGCCCAGCAAACCATGTCCGCCCTCCTCACGAAGTACACACGCTTCATGACCATAGTCTCCCTCGCGACGTCCACAAAGGACCGTGTCGCCGTGCCCACGGTCGACGTCGACCTCGCCTGGCACACGCACCAGCTCAGCCCCCGGTCCTACTACGATTGCACTGTCGCGGAGACGGCCGCCTTTGTCGATCACAACGATAAGGTCGACGAGGACAAGCTCAGCACCGCCTTCGAGTGGACGTGTAAGACCTACCAGGAACGGTTTGGCGAGGTGTACTCAGAATGCAAGTGCTGGTACTGCGAGAGTAAGTTTCCCTTTCACATGCCCTCTGATACGACCCCCCTTCTATCTCGCGTACGAGAGAGATAGTGACAAAGCGTGATGGCTTCACAAATCCTTGAAGACGCAAGATAGTAGATAGTGCCAGAAATACGGCCGCCGCCGTCGTCCGTCGGTCTCCGAGTTTGTGAGGAGAGCAAGGCTAACGTTGATTCGCTATCAGCTGTAAGGGTGATGGCGCTTCCTGCAACCAAGATGTTCGGTTCAGGCAAGGAGGAAAAGCGTAAGCATGCAGCCGTCTCCCCGCATCTATGTCGTGTAACCCTCCAAGAGGCTCACCCACCCCAGTCCTCGAAGCATGGCACTCCTCCCCCGAAGCCAAAAACGTACCCATCCCACCCGCTGCCGAATCAGCGCACGTCTCGTCGCACCCGGCGGTACATACCAACGAGACGACGTCGCGGAGAGCTCACACGCGCCCGCTGCGACTGGACTACAGGAACAGGCTCGAGGAAACGCATTCCAAGGCACGGAAGAGGGCAAACAAGACGTTCAAAGCAGATCAAGGTAAGAGGATGGGACCGAGGGGAGAGGACATGGCGAGCTTCTGGGGCAAGGAGGTTCCCGTACAAGGGCCGTGGGCAGCGAGTCTGGCCGCCACAACAACCAGTGACATGTACCCGTCCCCGCCTGGATTCGTTAGCACAGGGCCTGGGGCAGTGGGGAGCTGTGCCACGGGCACGTGTGGTGGTTCTGGTGGATGCGGCTCGGAGACGCTTGGTATGTGTTCTGCCGGGTGTGTTGGGGTAAGTGACAAGTCTCTTGATATCTCGGTGTCTCTTTTCGTACTGCGCGAAATATGGCCCTGTTTCTTTTCGGACTTTGTCTTATCTTTGCCGAGGCTTTTTGACGCTGACAAGGTGACAGAGCGCCTGGTTCGGCGGCAAGTCCGGATGTACAGGATTCGCGGGGTCGTAGGGATTTGACAGCATGTAACTTTGCAATATCCCATGGCTGAGACGAGCCATATCTCCGCCAGAGTCTGTTGACACGTGCTGTCATCAATGTGTGAAGTCGCAACTTGCTACCGCTTAAGCTTATTCCGTCCAGACGCAAGGTCCGATCGGAGGTCGGGATGTGGGAACCACAGGGCGTGGGGAGGGCCGCTCGCTTCCAGTTGCACGAGTAATGAGAGGGCGAAGATATGGGCCTGGTTCAAGCAAATGGTGGAAACTATGTTTAATGAAAGAGAACCGTCCATGGGTGTTGTACACCGCTTACGAGTCGATCGCTATCAGCGCTTGCTTGGCCCATTGCACCAAGCGGTCGACATCGATTGTTGACTCGTCGGGGCTTTGCCTTGGTGACACAACGCGCCGCTTCTCCGTCCACCTGCCTCTCTGTGCCTGGCGTGAGACATCTGGCTTCTGCGGTGCAGCCCGAGATCACCGCCGCGGGACCCTGAGAGGTCTATCATCGTCAGGAACCTCATTCAAATCACGCAGGATCGGCACCTGGCCCCCAAAGAGGAAGGTTCATGGAAGGCCCCGTGCACCATCGATCAAGGCCCTGTCTTTGGAGGGTTGACGTGCAGCGGAGAAGGCTCGATACCGCATCTCCTGCTGGCAATGTTGGCAGGTTTGCAGGGTGATTGACAGGGACCGATAAGATAACGTGCCGGTGCCGGCTGATATGAGTGGCTGGTCCAAGACTTGGCTTAGAGTTGGATTTGGAGTAAAGTCTCCTTGGATGAGAGGTTGCCCGCCGTGCATCGGCACTCAAAGCGAGCAATATTAGATTACCCCGCCAATAAGAAGAGAGATAAAGGGGCACACAGCTGTCAGCTTGGCCGCTGAACCCTGTGGTCCCCCCTGCGAAGCCCTATGAGACGTTCGCCTTGGGTCACACTTCAGCCGGCCAGAGTGCCTCTTTTCAGAGAAGCGCGCCGTTTCATCGTCTCAGTGTAGCTGTGTCGGCGGATTCCTGGAGGGTCGGGCTGGAGATTAACAAAGCAGGTCGAGCGTTCGTGGGGTCGGGAAGGATCGTGAGTGGCTCGACGGCATCTGGAAAGGCGGAAAGGTGGGGATGCGTCGTGGTTAGACAGAGGGAAACGTGGACTTGGTACTATCGCGACCCGCCGATGAAAGTGTCTCTTGATGAGTGTCGAGAGAAAGAGGAAGGAGGCAAAGAAAACATATAAACTGACGGCAGATCTCCCGCTCTGAGCCGTCTGTTTCAGCTCATCGACAGTCAGTGCCAAGACCTTCGTTCATAAGCACCTCTCAGCCTTCATCCCTGTTCTCCGTCCGTCGCTCCGGTCACCGTCGCCAACATGAAGTTTTCCGCTGCCATCCTCGCCCTCGCCGGCGCTGCTGTCGCCGTTCCCGTCCCGGACCCGGTCGCTGAGCCGATGCCGATGCCCACTCCCGTGAGTCAAGCTTTCAAAGCCGATTTTATGGATTTTCCGCTGACAATTCGCAGCCTGGCATTCCTACTGCTGCCTCTGCCAAGACCCAGCTTGCTGCCCTGACCGTCCGTGCCTGGACCAACACCGACACGTACGACCGTGATCTTTTCCCCCACTGGATCACCATCTCCGGCACTTGCAACACCCGTGAGACCGTCCTCAAGCGCGACGGCACCAACGTTGTCACCAGCTCTGCCTGCGCTGCCACCAGCGGAACCTGGGTCAGCCCCTACGACGGTGCCACCTGGACCGCCGCCAGCGACGTCGACATTGACCACATGGTCCCCCTGAAGAACGCCTGGGTTGTAAGTGATATTCCCTCTCCGTGTGCATGAACAAACGGAGCTCTAACACGGAATGACAGTCTGGTGCCGCTTCTTGGACCACCTCCAAGCGCCAGGACTTCGCCAACGACCTCACCCGCCCCCAGCTGTGGGCTGTCACCGACTCCGTCAACCAGTCCAAGAGCGACAAGAGCCCCGACTCCTGGAAGCCTTCCGTCTCCAGCTTCCACTGCACCTACGCTCGCGCTTGGGTCCAGGTCAAGTCCTACTGGGCCCTCTCCGTCACTTCTGCTGAGAAGACTGCCCTCACCACCATGCTTAACACCTGCTAAGCGACGCGACCATGATGTTTTGGATACGAGCGATGAAATTTGACGCGGGCTGGCGACTGCGTGTCTGGTGATTGTCAGCGAACCAGCCACCGATGGGTGTTTTTTCTACTGTGTTTATTTCTCTTCTTGAATATCTTTTCCCGAGAGGGCTTTGTCCACATGCGATCAGCAGCGATGGAACCACGAGACTGCCGAGAGCAGACGGAGTCACTTGGCGCCCCTGAGAGGGTTGATGACGATTGTCGGAATTGGTGCAAGGGAGGGCCAGGAGAACAAGGCCATTGTTGATAGTGTAGGTGCGTCCAAGGGAGACAAAAGATGGATGCTAGTGGAATAGCGAGTCTTGGTTCTTACTGCCTCTAATGAGAATGGCGCAAAAGCAAAACCACGCCCACGGCGTCCCGTGGAATGCACCGCCCCTCTGTGCCCGCCGTGATGCAATCGTTTTCTGGGGTCGATCGTTGAGTGCCGCAGTCGGCAATCTCGGTGCAACTTTCAGGGTCTCGTCTCGCGTAAGAAAAAATACGGGATTGCCAACGCTCTTGGCGCCACAAGCGATCGCGTTCGGCTACGCTGAAGGGCGGGGCAGGGGCAATGTTGAAGGTGCAGCTGGTTGACCCGTGAATGCTGTCTCTCAGCAGGCCCCAAGAGCTAATTCTGTTCGCGACCAAGTCCAGGCAGTCCGAAATTGCGCCAATCCGCCGAGACTGCGACAAGAGAATCTCTTCGTGTCCGTTTGGACGTAAGACATTGGCAACCGCAGAGTGTCGAATGGAGGCGGGGCCTTGGCGGTTGCCCCGAGGACGGGAGAGGAATGGAAGATGGACGACGTCACTCGCGGAGGGAACGGCCGTTGGAATGCATTTCTGGGAGTTGACGAGTCCGGGGAAAACGAGGGCGACGAAGTACGGCTTTCGAGACAGAGTCCGGAAGCAGATGGCGGCGATGGATGCGGCGAGCACAGGCCAACAGCAACAGCAGCCGTCAACGAGGACCGTTGCCCTCGACGAAACGACGAGACCCTGATGGCTGTCAACGCCATCTGGCTAAGATGAGAGAACTTTCGGAGATTTGGGTGCGAATGGCTTGCTGTTGGCGGTGTTGATGGGAAATGGAAAATTGACTTTTGGTGGTGCACCTTCCAAGGCAGAAAGAAACAGAGCGGTTGTGGGGCTGGCCGATGGTGAAGAAGGAACGAGGAAGAGCGCTTCCCAATGCGGCAAGTTCGAGGCAAGTACGAGAAAGACAAGGCGGGCAGTCGCTGCCTTCACCATGGTCGCCGTTTCCGTGGCCTTGGCCATTGTCTTCAGCGCTCTCGACCGCCTCTCCTTTCTCCTTGCAGTCACTGCCATGGACGCTGCCCATTGTTCGGGGGCTGTGTCTTTGACTTTCCTTCCATTTAAGCCGCTGATGCATCCCTCAACTCTCCATCTTCAGTTCAACCTCATCCCAAGCATCAATCGCATCAAACCACAAACCACACTCGTTCTCTTCCGTCAAGATGATGAGATACGCTGCCCTCTCCCTGGCCGTTGGCCTGGCCTCTGCCCAGACATTCTCCGTGTGCAACCCCGTCAAGGGTGAAAGTAGGTTCCTCTCTTCACCTAGCTCTGCAATCTTATAGATGTGGCATGATACTAACTACTCCCAGCTTGCCCTGCCAACCCGGCTTTCGGCAGCGAGGGCAACTACAACTTCCGCGACGCGAAGAGCATCGATGACCTCGAATCCTTCTTCATCGTCGACGGCGGCGTCAAGTACAACCCAAAGGTCATGTCCTTCTCCGAAGACACGGGTGGCCAGATGACCATCTTTGAGGAGGCAAACGCTCCCACCCTCACCTCAAAGAACTACCTCTTCTTCGGCAAGGTCGAAGTCGAGCTCCAGGCTGCTCCTGGCCGCGGCATCGTCACCAGCATCGTCCTGCAGTCAGACGCCCTTGACGAGATCGACTGGGAGTTCGTCGGCGCGGACCAGAACCACGTCCAGACAAACTTCTACGCCCTCGGCATCAACGACTACACCCGCGCAAAATACTACGAGGTCGACTTCAACCCCATGACCACCTTCCACACTTACACCATGGAGTGGACCCGCGACTCTCTCATCTTCTCCATCGACGGCAAGGAGTACCGCACAGCCACCCCCGCCGAGGGCAACTACCCGCAGACGCCTATGCAGCTGAAGCTCGGCACCTGGGTCGGAGGCAAGGGCCCCAACCAGGGCACCATTGACTGGGCCGGCGGTATGGCCGAGTGGGACAAGGCTCCCTTCGCCGCCTACTACCGCTCCGTGAAGATTTGGGACTACGCCGGCGGTGACAAGGCTGGCGCCACCTCGTACGAGTACAAGCCCAGCTCCGACGGCTCCTGGCAGAGCATTCAGATCAACGGAGCAGGCTCAAACAGTGACGGTGCTGGTAACAACTACCAGCAGGACCACCAGCCTCAGCAGCGCGCCACCGGCGAACAGTCGGCCACTTCCCTTATCACCGCCACATCTAGCCTGGTCGTTCCCTCCGTCGCCCCGGGACCCATCATTGCTAACAGCACCGGCCTCGCTGGAACCGGCATGACCACTCGCAGCGGTCCTTCCGCAACCTCGACATCCCAGCCGGTTCCCGGCTCGGCTTCCCCTGTCCGAGGCGGCATCGTCGCTGCTTGTGCTGCGGCCATGTTCGCCGCCTTGATGGTTTGATCTTCGAATATGAGCGAGTAGCGTCTTTCCTCAGCGCGGACGCTTTAGTGTGTCTCGGCCTGTGTTGATAATGTGTATATATGCTTTAAGGATCGGGCGCGCTGTGTGTGTATATGCCCATTGACGGGAAGAAGGCGTGCTGCCCTGGTGGGCCATGGGAGTTTTGCTCGATTACACTACTAATACCATACTTAATGCATACTTGCCTGTCCTTCTGTTTCGTGATGTGAGATGTAACTTGATCAGCAGAAGCCAGTCGTGCACGAAATTTACCTGGCTAGGGGAGGGCAAAGCTGTTCCCCCTCGTCTCTCATGTCGCCTTTGTCACCATGAGAGCTGCTTCAAGTCGCCATCAGTACACACGATTCTGAAAGGAGAATCCTTGGTTTCTTTTGATCCTTGTTCCGTCTCCTATTACTATTTACACCGGAATAAAAGTGAAAAAAGAGTTACGAATTACCCCCGGCACCTCTCCGCCAGACCAAGCCGGCAGCAAAAGGCCAGAGGACATCCCAAAACCTGCCCCAATCCAAGAATGCATGCAATCCGCGTAAAGTCGCTCGCTCCTTGAATAATGAGAAAACCGTCTCCTTCTTTTCCGTCCATCCCGTAGACACAGCCAGAGAGGGGAGTGCGAACGTTGCTTGCGGTCGACAAGAACCAGAATAGTGAAGGGAGAAAAAAAAGCCCGGGTATCAAACTAGCTTTGTACAAATGAAAAAAGAAGTGAAGAAGCAGAAAAAAGGGAGGTGATGTGCAATGTTCCCAAGCCAGCAACACCCCATATATATGCCCACCCAAACTCCTCGAGTCCAACGTGGTCATGTCGTCGTGGGCTCGGCTGACTTTTTTCTTCTCCCCGTGTGACGAACCCCAGCCATTTGTGTGTGGATTTCCTATTACGCCCCTCTGTTTATCTCAATTATCCCTTCACGCCCTGATGGTCGCGTCGCGTGGGACGTCAAACTCAATCTCGCCCTCGTCCAGCTCTCCCCTGGCAGCTCTGCGAGCCAGGTCTCTCTCCGAATAGATTTCGTTCTTGCGGGTCGTGGCTTGCTGCAGGCAGTCGACGTAGGTGCGGAACTTGACAATCTCCCGCAGGAGGTATGCGCTCTTGCGTTCCCAGTTGGCCATGGCCTTGTTGGCGTTGTTGCCGCGAGGAGTGAAGGCCAGAAGCATCGGGCTGCGCAGCTGGTTGTGCGTCTGCAGCTCGTCTTCGATGCCCTTGACGTACGACGTGAGGCTTTCGAGTTGCTCCTCCTCGGGAAGGTTACTGGGCCGCATGGACTGCGCCGGCGGCGCCCAATCGGAGATGGTGATCCTGTCTCCGGGCAGCTTCGCACCTCTGCTAGCACCATAGGCGCCGCCTGAGCCGTGGTCGATCGAGCCGGAGCGGAACGTGCCACTCGAAAAGCTCGGTCGTGGGTTGGCGGTGCTACTGCCGGGTCGCGAGTTGCGACCGGGTGATTGGCCGGCTGCTTGCTCGTTGATGGCCGTGACCAGAGCGTTGTTGATGATGGCGTCGCTCCATCCGTATTCGATGTTGCTGATACCGCCGACCAATGGATGGGTGCTCAGGCGAGCACTCCAATAGTTGGCCGTGGTGACGAACTCCTTGCTGATTTCGGGGGTACCAACCTGGAAAAGGTGAACAGCGCCGCTGGGAAGGCTCAGCGCCCAGACATGAGGCCGAGCTCTGGAGTATCCTGGGGGCGGAAGGGCAGATGCCAGGGTCTGTCGAAGGCTAAAGGTGCCCAGGTTAGTAGCGTTATCCTGCCAGTTGCCACCTCCAACGACAGCAGGGCCCTTGGCATTGCGACCGCGGCTCTTGCGTCCCACCGAAGATTTGGCGGTTCCGAATGAGAAGATGCTCATCTGGCCCTTTTGTACTACAGCAAACACCTCATTCCAGTGCCTGTCCTTTGCTTTCTTGTCAATACCGTCCAGATGGTGTTTGTGAATCACGATACCCTCCTTTACCCATGGAGGTCCGGCCAGTTCGAGGGACTCGTCTTCGAGAAGTTGAGCGCTCTTCAGTTCGTCGCTCATAATCGAGGCGGCCTTTCCGAAAGCTGACTCATCGTCACGGATGATGGCCTGGCTAAGGGCGTTGGCAAATCCGATGGACTGTTGATAGTCTCCGCCTCTGAATGACGACCCGAGCGAATCCACAGACATCGAGGTTTGCGTTCTGCCCAGCGAGAGCTTGCTCCATGTCGCCGACGAAGCCGAAGGGCTCCAAATCGAATTTCCGTCCTCGAAGCTCGTTCTCGACGAAGAGAATCCCGGATTGCCCATACGAGGTCGTGACCTGCTCTTCGAATTCCATCTGGAAGAATTGGCACGACCATGTTCAGCTATGCGCCCTCGCATAGATGCCTGACTTTCTGACGGGGCCTTACTCAGAACGCTGGGCGTTCGCTTCAGCATGCCGATCACGGACAGACTATTCGTTGTGGGCGTCAAGTTCTTCGACGGGTCCGCACCGAAGAGCGGCAAGCGTTCGTCGCGGATCGAGGTGTAAATGTCCTTCAGCACGATCTCGACCTGGCTCTCCCAGGCACGCATCGAGCCGTCGAACGGTGCTTTCACCAGCGGTCCGCATTCGTCGTGGAACTCTGACGATCCGTCCTCGTTTCTCGGCGGCGGTCGGAACGACAATCGGCGCGAAACGAACCTCTCCTCGATGGATGGTCTGGAGTCGTCTCCTCCGAGAGAGCTGTTGGTCTTGCCGGGCAAAATGGTTGGCCGTTCGAAAGCTTCGGGGGCTGACTCGGCCACCGCCTGAGTGATCGTAGTCATGGTATTTTTGACGAACTGGCTTCGCGTCATCTTTTGGTCGATGTCAGCCAGGTGCAAATCAGTGTTGAGCAACATGATCGAATAGCAGATTGTGTGAATGACATCTGTGTCTGGTTAGCAAACTTCAGGATTTTAGTCAGCGACAAAAGCTTACCAGATGCTTTGAACCCATGGTTGGTGTTGCAATCACACCAACGCTTAGAAAATGCAACCAAAATACGATCTACCTGCTGCGTCTCTGCTCTGAAGACCAGGCGCTCGCAGATCAAACGAAGACTCTGCAGAATGCTCTTGTTGGTAAAATCATAGAGATCCATGTATGCACGCAGGGTTCTCTGGCGGATGGGACCCTCCTCGCCCATCCATGCAGCGGCCTTCTCCTTCTGGATGAAGTCCTCGTTACCATCAAAGATTTTCTGTGCCTTTTGGCGATCATCGTCGGTAGGGTCTCCAACGACAAACTCAGGCTCGTCTAGAGGCTTTGCGTTCATGGACTCGAAAGTGCCCAGAACCTTCGGGCTGTTATCGGGTTCGACTCTAACGCTTGGGGCAGCACTGGCAGCAGACTTGTAATCGGTAGTGGTAGATCCTGACGTCCTGCTGGCAGACCTAGTGCCCTCGATTGGCAGAATCAGTCCAGATTTGTTGCCCTCGTCATCAGAATCCGTCGTGTCGACGGTGAGACGGTTGGTCTTCCTGCCTCTGATGGTGGTGTCATCCCTTCTCTGGGACGGCCTTCTCGAGGGAGAGGATTCCTTGGACGGCTTGTCTTGCCTGTGGCCCTTCTCTTTCCTTGTCTTACCCCGTTGTCTCGACTCGGTATCGGCTTCGTTATCGCTGCCATCGATGTCAAGGAATGAGTTGTTCCTCTTCTCGTTGGATACGGGAGGCTCAGGCGGCGGTCGAGTTGGAGTATCGGTGCGGCGTTCATGATCGGAGGGAGAGCGGTCCTCGCCACGAGAGCGAGACCTGACTTGTCGAATACGTGCGTTGGGACTTGGGTCGTACTCTGGGGAGAAAGAGCGGGGGTGCTCCTCTGCTGATCCCTCGTCGTGCGGGTCAGGAGCCATTTCGAGATCAGTAGCTTGTACAGGAGCAGATTGAGGAGTGATGGGCGTGTTTGGAGTCAAAGGGCTGCCTTTAAGGTACGGGTTCATGACCCTTCGTAAGCTGCTGATTGGGCTGGGCTCAGGTTTCGCGGAAAGCTTGTCCTTAGTAATGGGCAGCTGAATGGGAGCGACGAGAGGGGGCATGGGCGGCTCGAGGGCAGCCGTAGCTGGCACGGGAGGCACTTCGTCGGCGGACACAGACTTCTTTCTGCGACGGAAAAAGGAGCTCGGTTTCTTCTGCAGCACGTGATGATGGGAATGGGACGAAGATGTGTCCCTCGAGGGCGGGGCGGAGGTGGAGGGCTTCATCTGGTTGGAAACGTGGAGGGATCGATTCCCTGATCTCTGATCGGCCGTATCCACAGATGTTGACGACGTTACGCCCGAGGAATTTTGAGTCTCGGGCGGGTTATTAGAGGCATTGTTTCTGGACGAACCAAACACTCGCCTGAAAAACCCCGGTTTTTCTTTTGTTTGTGACGGCGTATGTGTCGGAATCGGAGCTCCGTGCACGGCCTCTTTTGTCTTGCCATAGCCCACATGTGGCGCGGGTGCCGAGTCAATATCGAGCGCGGGGACGGGAGAGGGCTCGGTAACGGGCGCGGCCGCGGGTAATGGCGGCACCTCCTCGTGATTGTTATTAGATTTATGGTCGGCCTTGCGGCTCGTTGCCGTGCTTTTGGCCGATCGATTCGTTGATTTGCGCTCGAGAATGACGGCGGGCGGCTCCAGCTCGTCATCAGCCACGGGAGCGGCTACAGGCGATCGTGGGTACGTGGCGGTCGGGGGTGTCTGGGGCACGATGCGTCTTGGCCCTCCAGGCACCGTCGGCGTGGGGGCCGCATCGTAGTCGTCGTTGAAAAACGTATTTGAAAATTCAATGTGCCAGGGTGCTTGACCCTGTTGTTGAGGTTGAGGCTGGTAATGTTGTTGCTGTTGCTGCTGCTGCTGCTGCTGCTGTTGCTGGGTGGCCTGCAGGGCAGCGGGTGGACGATGGCCGTAGTCGAAGCTCGAGGATCGACCACCGAAGCCGGACGCCCACCTCGTGCTACTGAGAACCTGAGCGTAGCCAGCGTCGATACTATTGGAGCTGCTGCTCTTGGTGCTCCCCTTGCCGCCCCTGGAATGCATGTGGCGTGGTGTGCCGGGTGTGCTCCGCATCGACTCGCGCATACTGCTGATGCGATGCAGGCCGCTCTGGAAGTTGGAGCTACTATTGCTTCTCCGTCCACGAGATGATATCCTGCTCGCGTCGTCGGCGTCGAAATCGGAGCTGTAAGAGTAGCCGTGGCCGTTTGACCGGCCGCCGCGAACTGGTCTCGGCATGTTATCGTCTGTATCGTACGGGTTATGTTGGGACGGGTCGCCAAACATGGACCTTCCGTTTCCGAAATCACCGCCAACAGGTCCTCCCATGGAAAATTGGTCGAGGGATATGAGCATATTCGTCATGAGAGAGTCGCGTGTAACATTGCGCGGGGACAATGACAGGTCGTGGGAATCGCGCGGTCGAGGTATATCTGGGTTGTCGTTCTCCTTGTTCTCGGACATGTCGAAGCTATCGGGAGAATCGGGGTTGTCTAGAAAAGAGTCGTCGGCATTGCGAGTGAGGGAGGGGCTCCTAAGCGCCCGCGAGCTGGCTTTGCGATTGGAAAGCGAGGTGGGTGGCGGCAGCTTGTTCCTGTTGCTTGGCGGCGTCTGGGGAACGGCGGCAGGAGCTGGTTCTCGGCTTCGACCTCGCGACGCGACAGGCGACCTGGAGTGGCCGGTGGGAGGAGAGGTGTCGATGTTAAGGTCCGGACGACGACGGCTTGAACGTCGAGGAATGTCGGCGTACATGGTGAAGGGGGTCGGGACGGGCTATCGTGGGGGTCGGAAGGGTTTTCAAGTCATTTCCAGCTTTCGAATCCAACAAGGCCGACAACAGGCACAGGCACGACCCAGGTTCAGGTTCAGGTCAAGGTCCAGGTCTGGGACTAGGTAGGCCCAGATGCAGCAGGCGCGCTCCGTATTGCGCGCGCAGGAGCAGCAGTATGGAGACGGAGTGGTGAATGATGTGGGTTGTGGTGCTGCTGGTGCAGAACCAAAGTGCCGCTCAGCAGTCCACTGCAGCAAACCAATGCGACCCAAGGCAAAGCGATCCAATCCGAGGGGTGATGGCAGCGCCGCAGTCGAGTCAAACCGAGAGGCTAATTCGGCGTCGCAATGTCCACAGCGCCGGGTTCGAAATCGAAATCGAGCGAGCGAGGGGGGTGGGCTAGGCCGTAGGCTCTACGGAGTAGAGCGCGCGCACACACGCAGGCCTGACCTGATACGTAGTCCGGCAAGGTCGTACGCTCTCTCTCAGTTTCTTTCTCTCAGTGTCTCTCGTAGGGGGGGACAAGAGGCAGGTGGTGTGGTAGAGTCCGGTAGGAATCGGCGAAGGCGCAGGCGAAGGCGGCCAAGCGGTAGACGGGCTTTGTCCCGATGAACGAATGGAGGCTAACCAAGGTAACTGGCAGCCGAGATTGAATGCAGGCAGGTCGTCCTCTTTGGGGCGGGCGACGTTGCAGTGTTTCTTTTTCTCGGCGTGGGATTGACTTTTTGGATTGCTTCCTCTTGCTTTTCCTCCTGCCGTTTTCCCTCAATCGGACTGGCCTTTTGCAGGGTGGGCGGGCAGTAAAAGCCAACAGGTGCCACGGGGAGCAGGAATGTTAATATTGTGCGTGGGCGGGTTAATTATGTATTAATATGCTGCGGTGGTAGTTGTGCTGGGTACGGGTATTTTGTATTGAATCGTGTTCCGAAAGAGGCGACGAATGCAACCCTCGATGCTCCCCTGACCTTGACGGCAGACGACGTGGTGATGGGGTCTCTGGGGAGGTTTTGGGTCTGTATTGCGTAGGTAGGTAGGTAGCGCAGGTACAGGTAGACGATGACGGGACGAGCAAGCAAGCAGGCAAGCAAGCGGGTGAAATAATAGCGTCCAGGGTATCCGTCGAGGGGTCCGGGTCGTGTATTATTAGCGTCGAGGCCAGTCGTCGGTCGTCCTCTTGATATGTGGGTGCATGCGCGAGTGTGTGAGTGTGAGCGTGTGTGTATGGTCTAGTCGGCCAGCGTCCCGAAAGAAGTGAAATGCGGACTGGGTTCTGGGGTGGTTGGGGGCGGACGGGCTGCTGAGGCACGAAGAGTCGGAGAAGAAGCGGTGTTGGAGGATTTGTTCATGTGCGATGCGCCATGAAACACGCGTGGAGAGTCAAAGAAGGAAAAGAAGCGGAATGGAAGAGAAGAACGGGGGAAGAAGAATTGGGTTAATTGATGAGCGCCCGTCTGCCCTGCCTGCCTGCTGTGCTCTGCTGCGAGTGATGTGCGTGGCCTGGCCTGGCAACTGGGAAGAAGAAGAAGCAGAAGCAATCAATCAATCAATCAACCTAATGCTGGGGACCTGGGAAATGGGAGCTGCGGCCAGGGGGACCCGTCTTCGTGGATGGATATGCGTTGGAAATGGAAGATTGTGGGTTATGGAATATTGGACACGCGGGAAATGGAGATTCGAATTGCTGTGACAATGGCAATGACAGCAGCAACAGGCAATGATGGGCGGCGCACCCGTCACGGACTCGGGGCCAGCACCAGCACCAGCACCAGCAACACGTATTCGTACGCAGCAAGTGTTACGGGATCCGGAAAGTGCTGTAAGGAACTAGCTCTCGGCTGGAAGCAATAACAATGAGCAATATTGCACCAGGAACTCTCAAGTATGACCGACTGCCCGGCGTTGTGACATGGGGCATCCGAAATGGTCAAGACGGGACGAGCACGATGGTGGAGCAGAGACAACCTGGAAGGAGGAAAAAAACAAACAAAGAAAAGTGAAGTCATCCGTACGAATACCGAATACGCAGGCAGGCAGGCAGGAAGGATGGAGGATCAAGGTGGAAGTGACGGTTGTCTGTGCCCGTTGAACGTGTCTCTCGTCTCCCTCATGTCTCTGTGTCAGTGTCAAAAATGCTGAAATGTCTGCAGCAGCAGCTGTCGGCTCTGCAATGCCTTAATTTTAGCGTCTGTGTTGTGCACTAGCTGTCTGACAATATGCAGCTCAGCAGTCGGCAGTAGTAATCTGTGTTCTCCGGCAGCTTCCAAGTCTCCCGACGGCAATCTGAAGTGCATCCAGCAATTGGGCAAGATCATCGTCACCGTCATCATCGTGTATTAGAAGACATGTAGTGGAGGATGCGACCGGCTCGACTGCCGCTGCCGCTGGCTTCACGGTTCACCAGCCAGAAACACCAGACGAGACGACCCTCATAACAATAATAAATGCACGCAACTGCTGCACGGACGGCAGAAACATGGCCGTCCTTGGACGAGAGGCAGATGTGGGCACGGCCGAGAAAAAAAAGAAGGGAAAGCAAGACCGGACGATGGGGGCACAAATGGGCCTTCTGGATCACTCTCATGGATGGGGGGATCCGTTGCAGCGGGTTGGGGCAGGAACGATGCCTGGATGCATGGAACACCACTGGACTGAGGTAAGGTGGAAGCAGCGGGCAGTCAGCAGTCACGGCGCACTCCACCTCACCTGAAGGGCAGTTGCCTGTTGCCGTTGCTCTTGCTCTTGCCATCTCTTGCCGTTCCTGCAGACTGAGGTGCAGTCCGGGTGGGAGCCTCTTTCCTTTCCGGCAGCTGCATCCTGCTGTCAGGGCAGCCGCTGCTTCCATTCTGTTCAGGAACACCCGTACCTTACTGCAAGATGCAAGATGCAGGTGCTCCCGTCCTCCAGCTGCCTCCTTCTTGCCGTTGATTCTCTTCACCTTTTTGCTAAGGTACTCTCTCATCTGCCTTGCCTTACCTAAGGTACGAATACCTTACCTCAGCCGGTGACTCCTTTCTGGCAAACATCATTTCGTCAACCGAATAAACACACCCCCGACACATGCAAAATACCTAGCCACGCATTAAACGTCTTCACCAGCTCCCTGCCCCCAAACTCCGTCCCCAGAGCTTCAAGGGCCTCGAGACACATGGTCCGGACCCTGCAACCTTGTCCATCTGCTTTGCGGTTAGCGGTTGCCCTTGACTCTTTTTTTGCTGCCACTGCGCCTAAACCAGATGGAGTCCACCCATCATGCAGGGTTTCCCCCCTTTGTTTTTTCCGCGTTCTTCTTTTTTTCTTCCATGGCTTGCTTCTGCGTCCAGAAATTCTGCCGCTGCTCTACTAGCAAGAAAATGATTTCAATACTGTTTTCCACGAGTCGCCCGTCGGATCTCATCGTCATCACCACCACCATCACGGCCAATCTGCTCGCGAAACGCCCACGCAATTCCCATCACCGATCCATCCCAACCATCGCCAGCCACTGCAAGACATTTCCCGCCGGCGTCTGCGCTACCGCAAGACACACGGCGGCCGGACCTCCAAGACACACGAGACACCAGGCGCCAGACACACGCCCGACGGCAGGCTTGCCGCCCTCGACTAGCCCCCCCTTTTTGACAGGCCACATCCCGGCTCCAAAAAGGGACAAGAGGGGACAGGGCTGCAGGGGGAATGCAAGATGCAGCCATGTCGCCAGGGTTCTTGTCCAAAACGAGCAGTTACTTCCAGGGGCCCCCAGAAGATCCGAGAGGACCCTCGTTGCGCTGTGTTTGTCTGTCAAAATCAACATTCTCGACCGCCACGCTTCTCATTCGCCAAAACAACAACGCTGCCCACGAGTCCAGAGCCGGACAACGGAAACGGGCCATGGAGACCGACCCAAGATACGCTCGGTTTCCAGAAGAGCAAGCCTCCACAGCCAACCGACGGCGGACAATTACCACGCGTGGCAGGCCGGCCGCCCCCATCGATCCGCCCTCCGGTGCAACCAAGGCGGCCACCAAATGCCACGCTCCTCCCGCTCTGCTGCTCACCGGCGTGATGCTTGGTCACCACCTCGGGTCCGAATCGTCAAGACTCGGTCAGCGAGAAAGGGACGCCCATTTCCCCAATCGCCTTATCAAGGCCGTTGAAGTCACGGTTCCAGCTGGTCCAATCGTGCCATCAACGAGTGCGCCGTCGTCGACTTGAAAGCGCCCACTCATTTGCGCCCACCTGGAAGCACTTGCATGCAGACACCCATGGCTTCCCCTGAATTGATGCAGACACCAACTTAGCAACCAGAGGTCTGTGCAATTGCGCGACTCGCTGCCCGCTTTCTTCTTGCTGCTCATTCGCCCGCCTCGACACCCTCCCGACCGCCGACGACACCACCACCATCCTCCGGCCTCTTTCCGCACCGGCGCGCTCAGAGGCAACAGTTCCACCGTCCGCCGCCCTCCTTGTCAGTCGCCATGACTGAGGAGTCGCAAGGACCTGCTGTAGGATTACAGGATGGGCGGGATGGAACAACCTCTGGGCCACCGTCCGACACCCTGAGAGGCCCAGCGCCTAGCGACTGCTTTGAGGAATGATTGTCATGCCAAACGGCGCATCGTCAACGGAGAAAACGGTCCTAAATTTCAGCATGAGGGCCACTGGCTGTCTGGATCCCAGTGGCCAATCTGCCGTTTCCAGAATGATATCCGTCCGGATGCCAATAAATAGTCGAGGCCACCAAGTGCCGGTGTCTTAGTGAGGGGCATTGATTGTCCGCAGTCAGTTTTGCGACACGCTCCCACTCTACCGACGCGGTGCTGACCACCTCTGGTCCGGGGATGACCAACCGTCATAAGCTCTGCCAATCGCCTCGCCCAGATGCCTCTGATGAGTCCGCAACACGTTGGTTCACCGCCAACCACCCCCATTCAGTGGTCGAGATGCTTTGCGACCGGTTCCGAACGCATTCCAACGTTTGCGCCTGCAATTTGCGGGACAGGAGGCCGTCACTGACCAACAGTTCCCCGTTCGAGTTAAGGGTGAGCTCGGCCCCTATTCCCGCTTCTATCCAAACCCGCCTTCTAGCGACTCAATCTCCAACACCGGCGGCCCCCATCCTGAATCTGCCCGCACTAACTCTACGAAACCCAAAACACACCGACAAGCTTCCATGTAGACAACCTCCCCGCCGTCGTTCCATCGTTAAACGAACCTTCTATTCCGACGTCAAGTTAAGGGTCATGTGCGTCAAAGCGCGAACCGTTGCCATTGCACGGGAAACATGACGAACATTTCTTCAGCCACCACCCGCGCCTCTGGCCGGCTTGCCCTACGCAATGCTCCTCTCCTGGCGCTGATCAGACATGAACGTTTTCTGAGCTCGCGGCCGCGATACGCCAATCTCCTGGATAAAGGGTGCCTAGGCGAAATGAAGACATTATCGCGATAACCAACAACCATTTGCTAGGCTGTGCTCTGGTCCTCCAGAATAGCACATGCGGCATTGAGGCCAGTCCAAGCAAACACGTTTCGATCTCCGAGGATGCCAATCATTTGCCATGGCCAGCGTCGATCTGAAGATCAACCACCGCTCGTCTACTGAAGAATCCGATCTTCAAAGGCCTTCAATCCGATGCGACACTCCTCCACAATCCTTCTTGGCGCGTCGACGCTCCGTGCAAACCGGCAAAGCATGCCGTCATCGCCGCGTCCCATCGGCCTCCGCACGTCCTCGCTCATTGAATGCAAGGGCCCATCCCAACATCGGTCCCAAGAACCACAAAGGACCGCTCGTTTGCCCTCAACTTTTCCCCATGCGCAAATTACTTTCCGGTTTGTGCTTGCGAACCGCCCCCAATTCCATAGCTACCCTCCAGGTTGGCAGCTGCAGCTCGGAACTCTGGAATACTGGGACTCCCCAATCCGGGATCCTCCAGAACCGCTGCAACTGCAAACCCATCTTTCATCTTGTTTGCTTCGTTACTTTGAAGTATTTTTGCACCCTCCATTCTCCTCTCACGTACTTACCCGGGATGAGCTGGTTGCACCGTGCCACCTGCTGCATGACAAAACGACAGACGCTGAAACAAACGGGCTGTACAGCTTGCTTACTTGCTTGTCCGTCGCTGCAGCTTTCAGGTGGGCGTCTGCTGCGATCGGATGCTACCACGACGGGCGGGACCTCGCATGGCGACGGAACCGACTCGCTGGATTGCGGCGGCGTTGACTCGAACCATAGCATGTCAAACGCATTGCTGCCGGGCGCGAATGAGAAGCCCCGACCGACTTTTGGATGCCAAGTATCGGACTGAGTAATGTTTGGGTTGTCTACGAGAAGGATGCAACAGCTAACGAGTTCGTGCAACGATCCTGGTCGCCCCGGAGCTTCTCCATGAGACTCATGAACAGACCAGCCCCCAGGGCGACATCTGGTCAAGTGACCGTGGAGTAGCCTAGTAACTTGGCATCGCACAGCAGTGTTCACCCACTCATGCTGACATCGAAACGTGACCATTGTAAACCGTTCACCTAAACCCGCCGGGGCTTTTGCACTGCATCTTTTGGGCTGACTGGTGGAATTGAGTTTGGTTGCTGAGTGATCTTGTGACAGACTGACTGACCGACTGCTTCTTGGACAGCCTCACCACGTACATGACCCCAGAAAACGACTTAATGGCACTCGCCTGTAGCTAGGTGATCACGAAAGTATCTCCGGCTCCATACTATCTTGTCGGTATTGGGAATCGATCATGAATGTTTGAGGCTATGCAGGGCCCGACATGTTTCGGTTGATCATGTTTGATTTTTTTCGCTTGGTGGTACGTGTCACCAAGTTGACTGTGTAAGGACAAGGCACCTCGTCAGTCCCTTTCTATGCATTGTCTCGGTTCTGGTGTGAAGATTGAAGCAAGTCTCCTCATGCACGAGGGCCTTCTCCCCTTGACTTATCATCTTTGCTCTGTCTTAGGAGTTATCGCGGCCTAGAAGGCTGATCTGCATTATGCCAACTTGATGTTAAATGTATTACCTAGAACTTCCTCCAAAAAAAAAAGTCGTTGTTTCTAGAAGAGCCCGATGTGAATGCCCGGGACTGGTAATGCCTCAAGTTAGGGTTTTGAAGTATAGACATTTCACCTCTACGAGATGGCTACAGTGTGGAGGTGCTTGGAGGACGAGTAGTTGCAGAATGCTTTCCTTGGCATGCCTTACTACGTGCACAGTGAGCTTAAATGTCTGAGTGAGTCTCTCTGCGCGTAATCCTGTCACTGTTTAGATATCTAGGAGGTAATTTAGCATGTATTGTCTTATTCTCTATCACCTTTTATATTCTCATAATGGTTCGGTACCGAAGGGTATTTTATTATTCCTATTTTCTTTTGAATTCTAAAAGTGCCCACTTGGCCACTAGAACCTTCTTTGTTTTTGATTTTTGGGAACGGGCAACGCTTCTCAATCAACCACCTACTCTAGAAGCATTCCGGCCCCTGGCACCAGGGCTTTAATCCCTTGCAGGGCTATATCAGTCCATTGTGGCGAATACGGCGAGGATTCAAGTATCACCTAAAACCCGTTGTTCTTTACATCTGTTTCCGGCCGAGGCTGACATCCTATTGAGTATGGAACTTGTTAGTGAGCTTGGAAACACTGGCCATGGGGGTAGGCGACAATATCTGATGTCACAATTACTACGAGAATCGGCTAGACGTCACCACGAAGCACACGTTCAAAAACAGACATGTTCCCTGGCCGATGGCGATGGCTAGGTGCAGGCTATGAAAGGTTCCACGTCGAATGAGTGAGGTTCACCTCAGCTTCAGTCTTGGGCACCGGCAATACTATCGATACTTGACGGCAATTTCAATAGACTCCTGATGTCGTAAAAGGATCTTGTATCATATCGAAGCTCTGAGCCGGATTTCCCATCCCGAGGGTAGTTGGGTGGCTGTCCCAACCGCATTGGTCAGAAATCTCATTCACTGCGGTGACAGCGATCGCCACCACCGGAGTTTGTATGGATATTGTTTTAGAACTAGAACACCCTATAAAGCCCCCTGTAGCTTGCGGAAATGATTTACCTTTCCCCTGCCTAAGTTGAGGCCTCAATCAGGGTCTCCCAGAGTATGTCCCGGTCCAAGTTAGAGAGCGGCAAACAGGCTATATCATTACTTGCCGCCGCCTACCAGTCTATCCGGCACGTTATCTGTGACATTGATGAAAATGTCAAGAACAGGATTGGGGCTATAACCGCCATCTCCCCATCTACCTCCACCGCCTACAGCGACATCCTCCAAAGTATCTCGGCGCAAAAATCCCGCACCGTTCTCTAACATGAAGTCGACCATTCGGTAGCGGTTCTCTCGTCTCGCCGTCCGCATAGCCGCACCGAAGTGTCGCTTGCATTCATCGTATTCAGATGTGTTCGCTAGTCGAAAGCGTTCAATTAGTAGCTTCAACGTACTTAGACGGTTTTTCAGGGCGCAGGCCTCGAGCGCGTCCTTGTTGCCGGGGCCCAGGGTTGCGCCTCGCTCAAGGAGAAGACGGACAACCTCATTGTGGCCACCAAACGATGCTGCTCGGAGAGCTGAACCGCAGTAGCCAATGGAGTCAGGATCAGCTCCGCGTTCAAGAACCATGTGCACCCATGCGGCTGAACCACCGAAACTCGCTGCTTGTAGCGCGTTACCGAACAATCCACCTGGTTCGTTGATATCTGATATCTCTTCCAGAAGCTTCATAATACGGGCGTTGTTCGTATCAGCGTTCTTGGTCCCGTAGAGAGCTGCCTGCAGAGCAATACTGATCCCTACATTTGCTAACCCAAGGAATGTTAGGTATTGGATTTGCCCCGAAACGGGGTTGTAGCTCACATTCATCCTGGAATTTCTTCGAATTCACTTCATTATCGAAATATTGGCGGAGGAGGGACATAACTGCATCGTAACGGCCGAAGTAAAATCCTGCTTGGACCAAACTTCCCAATTTTGCCGCTTGATGGCACGAGCTGTTACCGACAAGTAGTTGGATTACAGGCTCATGGCCACCCAAAATGGCAGCGTGAAGAGCTGTAGGATATCGGCCTTCCAGAAGCGGATCAGCGCCGCTGTTAAGAAGTATTTCAACGGTGCTAGCATGTCCACGGATAGCAGCACCCTGTATCGGTGTTTTGAAGCGCCCTCCAACCATGTTCGGGTCAACTCCATGGCTGAGGAGATACTTCAAAATGTCGTCTTGACCGCGAATCGCACTCAGGTAGAGATCCGATGTCCCGTATATATTCTTTTCATTCCAATCCACGTTGGTGTGCTCACGCTCAAGTCTTTCCAATATTATGGAGATTCCATAGACTGAAGCGACAAAAATTGCAGGTTGCTGCTTAGCCTTCAGGGACTCGAGATATGACAGATGTAGCAGTAGGGTTCTGTTACTCAAGACGTCGTCTCGCTTAAGTTGTTCATCAAGTACGATGAGCATCTCTCGCAGCCATGCGATAAATCTGTGCCCTTTGTACTCAAAGATGAACTGGAGAAGATCTGGGTCGGCCTTTGCTCGATAATCCTGACCTAATATCTTGGTGTAATGATCAAGCCAGTAATAGATTGCATATTGCCAGAAACAAGCTGGTGCAACGTCAGGAGACCCATCTTCGGTACGATCCATGGTGGGCGTCGGATTTGGCGAGTCGATTTGCATTTCGTCGACGACATCAGGTCTTAGTAGTCCCCTTTCTCCGTCATCATATCTTGCTGTCAAGCACCTTAGACAAGAAGAAAATGCCGCGAATTGTAATCTGGTTGCATTGAAGTCATCCCGCCCCTGGAGGAATTCTCGGATCGATTCGTGTGCGAAGGCGAATGAACCGGAAGCGTTCTCAGAATTGACAAAGCCACGGCAAAGGCTTTTGATGTTCTCCTAGTCGACCCCCCCTAGCCTCTTGTTCACGGTTAAACGAATGATGTCCAGGAGCTCCGGATTTGAGAGCTGGCGTTCAGACACAAGCAACCATCCAAAAACGATGTTCGTAATTTGTCTTGCTTTCGGCTTATACTGCTGCACCCGCCGATACATCTGCTCCAGCGTTTCTAGCAGAGACTTCGGTGCCCGCAATGATTCGAGTTCGTCCATAACATCCGCTTCTACTTCAAACTCGGAACCACATAGCTGCTCGAGGTTCAGAGACGCCCAAAGGAACATCTCTCTCGAGCCATGTGTGAGTGTACGAACGATGCGCGTCTCCACTTCCGCGGAGATCTTACCCCTGAGCAGCCTTTTGTATTGCACAGCTGTGCCGACCTTGGATTTCACGAAAGTAGAGACGTCTTTGGCATTGTCGACATGGGTCACTCGGATTGACCTCACATTCTGGAGATGAATATCAACAGGTATGCTATCGCGACTCGAAAGAAAAAGCTTCACAGTATTTTGTGATTCATCGATGATGTGCTGGAGGATGTTTAGAAGTTCACGAATGTCCCCCTCTGCTTCGTCCAGTCCGTCGATGATGATTGTCGTAGGGTAATCGGCTGTGATCAAAATGATGAGGTCTCGACAGTCGTCAAGAGAAAGGGGAGTCGGTTCCAGCCCTTCGGAGTCTTTGACCCGCTGGGAATACTCGTCCCACGCCGAGTGATGGACACCTCCACCCGGTACAAGAAATGCTAGCTGCCTCAAGATGGTACCCATGATGACGAGTGAACTGGGAGGGTTTCCATCAATTCCGGATCTTGAGCAATAACAATGAGCAACCAATGCAGTGCGAGAGACACTGTCAATATGTTCCTGTACCACAAGTGAAGTGAGCTTGCTTTTCCCACAGCCAGGTACGCCGCGAAGCCAAAGGCTGCATGGGATAGTTGAATCGCACCATGCTGTGTACTCCGCTCTTTGAAGCAGCCACCCACCGGTGCTCTCAATGAATCCACGACGCACTGTTTGGTGAACATGCATGTGTCGAATGACTGACAGCCATTCTACAAGTTGTTGACGTTCTTTGGCTTCCAAGCTTCGCTCTATTCGATCGAGCGTGCCGGCAACGCGGGCAATGGGTTTTTCCAAGTCCCGGAACATGCTCATCAGAGAGTTGAAGCTAATGTCCAATGACTTAACGGCCACAGCAGTGCTTGAAGCAAGTTGATCGTGTAAGCTTGTGGCCAATTGAGAAACCTTGCGTTCTTCTTGAAATATTGATGTCAAGGTTGGGCCTGAAGACACAATGCTGCGGAGCAACCTTTTGATCAGGTGCTTTTCGTAGTATGCACCAGCTACTGATAACCAAGATAGGATGGCGGTGTACAGTGCGACCAAAGCGTCTTGAAGCGTAGCATGTGCCTTTGACAAGGGGTAGCGGTGCGGCGGGAGGTGGATGGTTTCCAAAACGGCGCAGCGTGTGATGAGACTCGATACAGTCTCGATACCCTCGGCTATTGTACCGAGCGATTCTGCGTCGTTGATTGCAATTTGAAGTAGCATTCGTACGCCGGCCCAAGGAAGTGCGGCGTGTGCGGGATCGTATTGGGTCGCGACGTCTCCAACCTCCTTGAACCGTTGGAGCCACCGAACGACTTTTTCGAAGACATCCCTGACAACAACCACTTCCCCATTCGATTGTCTGAACTTCCATCTGCGATCCATGCATTGTTGCTGTTTCCCTTGCACCAGCTCGAGAAGCTGCTGCGAAAGAGTATTGTTGTCGACAGCGGCTTTGGCAAGTTGTGCCTCCTCAGTATTTGTCAGCCGCTTTCTCGCAATATCCCAAAGATTAGGGGTAATATTATCAGAAGGTTCCATTGTGCAGAAAGACTGAAGAGCATCGTCAACAACCCTGATCGTCTTATATTCGCGCAACCTCAGCACTACGCGTATCGTGGTTGAAAGAAAGGGAGCTCCCAGGGGATGCATACAAGGGTCTTGGTCGGGCTTGAAGTCGGCTTATCTACCCCCGCACGAAACGAAGGCGCTTGAAGAGAATGCAAATACCGTAGAAGATGGGGCGAGCATGCAGGGTTGCAGTGTGGCGAGGTGCATGTTTCTGGCTGTACATGCAACGCCCTGCGGCCTCAGGTGCTTAATCGGACTATGTCATTGGGCAAGAGTCGACGAGACTGCGTCCTAGGCTGACTGCGCTGTTGGTCTCCGACAGCTCATGGTGGCCCTCCAACAATAACCGCCGAAGCGTTCGTTGGTCACGAGACGCACGCGGATTCCCTTCATTTGTTCAACTTTCTCATGCTGTAGCATTCTATTCAAAGTTGCGGATATGCCTTCTTCGTGATTTCGCTAGGTCTGAACCTAAACTTTCCCTCGGAGCCTCGGGTCTGGAGGACAAATCGCGACCGCAGACGCCGTTACGATTCCTTCATATTCCACCTTGGAATTTCCGCCTGCCCAGACGAATCCATCAGGCTGAGTGGTTGTGCATGTCAGATTTAGCCAATCATCAAAACATACGTATGCACATAGCCCCTCTCACCTGAATGCTCTCTGCCCCAATGAATTGCGGCACAGCCCGATAGAGACTGACCACGTCATTTGGAGAATCATCGGCCTTCCCTCTGGACAACGGTCAACTGAAATTGTCGTTCCATTACATCGATCGATCCCTCGCTCGCCAGCCTTCTCGTGCACTGAGGCGCAAGACCATCTTGTATTACCAATAATCCAACATCTCCTGTAGTTCAACATGGCAGAGGCTATTGGGCTAGCATCGAGCGTGATCGCCATCACCGATGTAGCGTTCAAAGCAGGCAGCGCCTACCTGAAGATCATAAGGCTCCTGGATGAAATGAAACAAGTCCCGACCGAGCTACGACTGAAGGCTGACAGAGTCAAATTCATTGAAGAATTCCTATTTTATGCGGAGGACAACCTCTCGAAAAACCCGTTGCCAAGCAGTGCTTGGAGCCCCACTCTCCTTCAAGAGCAACTCAGTAAATGTCACGCGATATTGAGCGACGTAAGGAAAATGGTTGATCGCACGATGGCCCAGGTCGCTCAACCAACATCTATTCGGCGGAAGATTGCGTTAACAAGAGCAATCATTCATAAAGATGACCTTAAAGCCTTGGACTTGAAACTCGACGAAGCGCTGCAGCTGTATCAGTTGGCACAAGAGCAATACATCTTGTGAGTACACCAGAGGCTTTGGGCTTCAATGTAAAATGTGACTGAAAGAATACCAGGGCCATGATGACGTACTCGTTGATTTCGAAAGCTCAAGATCCGGCTAAAAAGGATGAGCTGCTTGACACCGTCAACAAATACCAACCCCAGAAACTGAATTCTGCGAGCCTCTCCCGAAAACCACAAAGTGTATCCTACGAACCAAGTATTTTTGGACGGTTCCATCTCTCTTTTCAGGCCAATCGAAGCATCCACGCTGTTATCCAAGCGCCAAGTTGGATCACGAGTACGGTGTATTCTGTCCTGGCTCAAAGAGCAACCGTTGGTTGGCAAATGAATCTCAGGGCCGATGGGATGGTCAAACGTTTTGACTGGGAGCTTCTCGAACTCATTGAAGATGACAAACCGCAGGCGGGTTTCAAATACCTAGACGAGCACAAGATGTCTCCTTTTGTGCGTAATTGGAAAGGAAGAACTTTACTCTACGTAAGCACATATTCAAGTTCATTCATACCCATCTTTTGATCATCTAGCTAACAGCAACTTCGTATAGGACGCCGTTCGATGTGGCGCTGTCAGTGCCACAAGGGCGTTGCTGGACCAAGGCCTAAACGCTCTTGAAATGCCTCCTAGAGAAAGGGAGCAATAAGTCGCCAAAATGCACATTGATACTTCAATTAAAGAATTCTATCTAATAGCTCAATTTCCTACAGCATTCCACGGATGCTTTTCGAGTTGGGCAGTCTTTCCAGTTGCGACGTGGACGACAAAGGACCCCTCCTCATTCAATTGCTTGGTGACAACGGTCTAGATGATCATCTTGAAGACCCCGGATTTCTTTTCCAGGCTGCCATTTGTGGCCTCCCCTTCATCAGTTTTCGAGCCTTGATAGAAAGGTGTAGTTTCATATACTGGAGCCTGCCGATTTGGAGGAGGCTTAATCACGTTCGCACTGTAGTCAGCTGCACCGCTCCAAATTGGGTGCAAGCGTGGAATGTGGAGGAGATTCTCTTCATATTGAATGAAGGCAAAAGTCCGGGCCTTGAGCTTCTTCAGGAGTCTCGATCCGAAGATGAGACGTCACTAGTACATACCTTGGCCATCAGCCCAGTCCATTGTACTGCTGACAAGAGGTGGGATCCTGATGAAGATCGCAGTTGGAGGCGTGTTCTCGGTGCCTGCTTTGAGCTAGATCCTTTGGGAACGCAACATCTTGACAGTGTTTGGCTTGATCCAGACTTTGGTCATGCTGCGGATGTTGTATCCACGCCGTTGTCAGCAATGCTTTGCAGCTTTGTTTGCCATGGAATCCACACGAGAGCAAACGTCCGAGCATCAGTTGTCGTCAGTGTGAGATCCCTCCAATCGGCATTTCGGCTATGGATCGAGGCACTTGCGTCGTCCGGAGAGGACCTTCTTTTATACGGAAAACATGAGAGAGACCTACACGTTCAAGGACATACTCATATATATCAGAAGTTCGCATGGCAGGCTTGGAACGAGAAAAGGGGAAATATGCGCTACTCGATCCTGGGCATTACGTACGGCTCTCTACCTCAGCAGTGGAGCCTCTGGATTACCAACGAAAACTACGACTACGCTGGAGAATTTTGGGCAATGGTTGAGAATCAAAACATCAAGGTCCCTGGGAGTTGGGTGGACGATGCGTCAGATTCGACAGAATGGATGAGAATCCGTGAAGAGTTGGGTGCATGGCAGCAAGAAGCAGCGCCGCCACTCATCTGGTCTGAGTATCGCAAGCCACGACCGCCTATCTGAAGCCTGGAAGTTACTGGATTCTCAGAAAACGCGATAGAGAGACCAAAGTGTTCATTGGAAATAGCGGAAAAGGCTCATGTGATTGAAATTTTGTTTTCCCACAGTTGTTTACGCATTTGAAAATACGACACCTGTATCAATCTCAATTACGTTCTTGAGCAAGGCCAGCAGGCTATCAGGCCTCAGTCTCGCAGCACGATCTCAGCCCTGATGACCCTAGTTCCTCCATCAGTTCCCTCAATCTCGGTCATGATTACTAGTCGAGCGGTCTGCTAGCTTTAGTCACCGCTCATATCTCAGAAAGTCTTTCACCTACCTGAATATTGCTCGCGTCTAGATTCTTGACATACTCCTTCACATCGCCTTCCAGAATGTACTTGGGGTCGACTTGGGGACCGTCATACCCGTCCGGCAGCTTGACAAGAAGACGAAGCGGCGCCGGTATATCTTGAAAACCGTTGCTTCCCAGAAAACTGGCCTTGATCGATCCCTTTGGAAGCTCAAGCGTGCGGGGGAAGTATGGAGCAGAGTCCGCCTCTCTCGCGGCCTGGACCCTGGCGAATCCGGCGAAAAGTGGAAGGGCGTTCATGGCTGTTGATTGAGTTGGAGGGTCTGTATTGGGGAGTAGCGATGTGGAGAGTGTAGACTTTTACCTAGCGTTGTCACACTTGTTCCAGGCAGGCACCATCGTTGGGTAAACCAACCTTGTTATAAAAGTATATTCACCTTTGAGTCATCTCCATAGTCTGCACTTGCCAGCACTCCAGAGCCCAGAGCGAGTGAGTCTAAAGATTTTTGCAATATTCGACTCAACTCGCAAAACTCGCAATCACAACGTCAACTATGCTGAGCAAACATTGTGATTAACTCCTAGAACTTGTGAGCGACTGAGAGCAAACGAGTGATGAAACGGTCCGCAATCACAGTGCGGCAGGCAATGGAGATGAGAGGAGTTTCTAATGCTCTACAATCTGCGAACATCAATCAGGTCTCAAACGGTTTTCTTTGTTGGAAAGAAAGCTGATAGTCCAAGGTCAAAATGACTCAGTGCATCGCACGCATGATGGCTTTCGATGACATGGCTTGGTTTTACTGCTATGAGGCCAATCCGTTCACTGAAACGACGAGAAAGCTTTTCACGGACACACCGCGTCTGGTAGCAAAGCAGGTTGGCAACTTCCCGCCTTGGTCGTCGCGGCTTCGGGCCCGAAGTGGACCTACTTCGGCGCCCATGTGCACCTACTTCGGCGCCCATGTGCGGGGTTTCTCGCCGAACCGGTGCCGCCGACGGCGTTGTTGGTCAGCACAGCTGATGCCATTCCCATCTGAATCACGACAGTGGCCGGACAGCGGCACACGAATGCAGGATGTACCAAACTCACATCAGTATGCTTACCGCTATCATCCTAATACTACTAAGCTAAGGGAGATCCCTCAACACTGCGTGTGTAGAGTTACGAGTGGCATGCATGCATGACCTACGGATATCGCATCCAGTAGAATCAAAGTAGTAACCAAGCTGGTAGTCTTATCTGAAGGTTCCCCGCATGCGAGTGCCGATTGCGTGAAACGCAGGAATGATGGCTCGAACGCTCGTCATTGGGGTTCCGTTGACGTGATAGAGTCCGTTTGTGAGGGAGCTATGTCCTGGTCGAATGGATTTATAGTCCGCAGCGCGAACAACCCGAATTGCTGCGTCCTCATTTTGTCGAAGAAAAATCTCCCGGAGCTCCTGCAACACACTAGACCATGTCCACGACAACAACGACTACGGCTGAAGCCGAGCAGGCCCCCATCAAGTTGACCTTGGCCTACGACGACAAGATCCATGACCAAGTAGACCACTTCATCGATGGATGGATGCGACAGCACACGCTGACATTGACGGC